GAGGCTGACCTCTGCTGATCACACCAACAAGCTCCTCCGCCATTGGATCTGAAGGTGGGTTTGGCCAGAGTGAGGCACAGACTGAACACTGGAGGATGGCTGGAGAATGTTGTCCTCCCTGCCCGCTGCCCTCCTCGGTTCCTGTCGGGTGGCTCCTCTGCCCCAGCCCTGGTTCTCAGTGAAGCCCCAGGGGCACATTTCTCCCCCTGGTTTCCCCAGGAACCAGCAGAATCTGGAAGGAGTCCTTTCCTTCTGTAGCTGGATCCTGGAAGCCCTAACCCTATGCACACCTCTGTAAGCAGCATCCTTATCAGGAAGTGCGTTTAAGAACCTTACTGGAGGGGTGCCTGGGCAGCTCAGTCATTAAGCGGCTGCCTTCTGCTCAGGTCATGATCCGGGGAGTCCTGGGATCAAGCCCCACATCGCATTGGGCTTCCTGCTCCGAGGGAGACCTGCTTCTCCCTCTTCCAATCCCTCTGCTTGTGTTCCCTCTCTCCTGTGCCTCTGTCAAATAAAATCTTAAAAAAAAAAAAAAAAAAAAAAAAAAAAAAGAACCTTTCTGAAGGAGCTGTCCCGGGGCTAGAACAGGCTGTGTTATTACTTGGTGTTCATTAGGTGCTGGGCATTGTAAGATATTGAACAGCACCCAGGACTCAAGCCCTAGGTGTAAGGAGCTCTCTTCCTGCCACCCATAATGGTCAGGACAACCCAGAGTGTCTCCAGGGAGGGGTAACGTTGCTCCCTTGAGGAACCGCCCCTCTGGGAGGAAACACAGGAGCCAGGGACCGTGGTTGTCTCTCGGGAGTGGGATGAGGCAGGGGTCTTGCTTTTTTCTTTTGTTCCCCTTCATAACTTGTTCCTGCTAAGCCTCTTTGAAAATGAGGAACTCACTAAAGCGAAAAGCTGGCAGTTAAAATCAGAACAGGTGGTGTGGGAAGTGGCCCACACCTTGTGTTTGTGGGTTCTCAAGGGGCTCTCAGTTGGATCCTGTGGGAACTGCAGCTTCCTCCTGGGGAATTCTTGCATTGACTTTTTTCCTCTCTGCAAACACACTGGTAACTCAGCCCCTAAACCTTTGCTCATCTCTGCCCTCGGCCTAGATTCTCTTCTAAGACCTTCACCTCCTCAGAGAGGCTTTCCACTGCCACCTTTGGTCCCTTGGCCAGGGGCACCCATGGTTTTCCTTACCACCCCTTACTTGTCATGTATCCCACTTATTTATTCTTGTCCATTGGCTTAGTGTCTTCGTCCCCCATGGACTCTAAGCTCCTTGAGGGCAGGGACTTTGTCTGCTCTGATGGGTCCTATGCCCTCCATGCCTCACACACAGTAGGGCTCTCAATACATTTTTTTGGAAGAATAACTCCTTACCCTCTTCACTGGCTTCCTCCCCACAAAAGGCCAGCCAAGGTCACCCACTTTGTAATACACTTTCCCTTTTCCTGCCGCTGTCAGGTCCCTGGAACTGTGCTGGGTGTTAGTAACAGCAGCTGAAGACACTCACTCCCTGAGGCAGGGTGGGGGTGGTGGGGGTGTCCGAGCCCCAGCTCCCAGCTCCTCCACCTGTGTTCAATCAGGCAGGTTCCTTGTCCCTCTCTAGAGGATGTGCAAAATGGCCCCCACCTCACAGGGCTAGGGTGGGGATCAAATGCTGGGATGGCTAGTTTTTTTCCATGAACTTGGCTGGACCAGAGTCCCCCATCAGTCAAACCCCCAGCTACTGTTGCCCTGAAGGTATTTTGTACATGTAACTGACATCTCTAATCAGTTGAGATAATTCCCAATTATCTGGGTGGGCTTGACTCAGTCGGTTGAAAGGCCTCTAGAGCAGAACGGAGGATTCCCAGGAAAAGAAATTCTGCTTGGGGACAAGAGATCCTGTGCCTGAGAGTCTCCCGCCTGCCTGACAACTGCCTGTCTGGAGGACGTCAGACCTGCCTAGCCCCACAGTCACATAAGCCAATTCCGTGCAATGAATCTCTTAATACGGGTCAGCTACTGATTCTGTTTCTTGGGTTGAAAGCTGATGGATACAAATGGGTCTTAACATGCTAAGAACAGGACCTGGTGCACACACAGAGCTCAACAAACATGAGCTGCCATCCTGGTGGCCCCAGTGCCCTGCTCGGTGCCAGGCAGCCATGAACACATTCCCAGCTCACAGTAACACATGATGTTATGCTCCCATTCTGCAGATGAAGCCGGGAACGGGGTGCCTGATCAGCCCACACTCAGGGCGGTGCTGGGATCCCATCACCGGTAGCCCAGCTCCACCACCCTGTGGCCAGCCATGAAGGTTCATGCGCCCACAGCCCCACTGCAGTGACCAGTGAGGATCCCTAACCAGGAGAGGAAGGGACAGTGGCAGCCCTGTCCTCCACCATCCTCCAAACCTAGCAAGGTGCAGGCACAAAAAGGGTTAACTGAGAAGGGAACCAGATGGGGGCTGTTGAATGAGAATGAGATGGGTGGGGGGTAGGGACTTCCTCCCAGAGAGATTCCTTCCCCAGCCTGAACTGCAGCCTTCAGGTCTCCAGATGATCGGTAGAAGTCATCCTGATGGACAGGGCTCCCAGGAGTGGGCAGGAGAGGGCAGAAGTGGGGGAGCAGGTGGGAAGGACCTTCCCCTTTCTGAATGTCAGCTTCCTTGTGGGAAAAGCTGGGGGACCAGCTCTTGTCTCATAAAGTTGAGGTATGACCTTGGGGAGGTTTCTCCCCCTTCCCACCCCCCTGCCCATGGAGGGAGGTTTCTTAAGCTCTCTGGGCCTCAGTTTCCTCCTCTGTAAAATGCGCTTGACCACCAGACCTGTTGCCCAGTGCTGCTGGGCTCTGTGCATGAAGAAGGCCTGAGGGCTCGGAGGGCACTGGGTGCTGGACAGTGCCATCGTTGTGGTTGTGCTGTCATCTCCTGAAGGAAAGAGGGAGGGCTATTTATAAAGTCCACCTCCCCCATGATCTCCTCAGGTGGAGTGAGGAAATAGCAAGATTTGCCCAGTGACATGAGTGACTGTCATATCACAATCGGAGACCAGAGGTTTGTCCTCAGGCTAGATGGGGACAGAAGCATCCTCCTCTGATGGATAAAGGTTCTCAGCAGCTTGGGCATCCATCTCTGAACCTCAGTGGTCCCCCACTCACAGTCCCCTCCCCCCAAGGCACCTGTGACTGGGAGGGACCCATGCCGGTGTCCCTGCAGGGCTCAGCATGAGTGTGGCACTTGGGGGCCCTGGGAAAACGTGTATTAGATGAGGAACAGAGGGAGTGGGTGAGAGCGGGGTGGCAACGGAGGCAGAGAGTGACGAGGAGGGGTGGGTGGTGAACCAGAAACCCCGCAGGGCAGCTGCTCCTTGGTCAAAGATCCACTTTCCAACCTCATCTTCATTTGCGGAGCTGCTGCTGGCTCCCTGCCACCCACCCATGGGGACAGCATGTTTTTTTCCTGGGCTAGGTATCCCTGAGTCCGTAACTGGCAGGCTGCTGGGCCTCCGAAGCTGAGCTCGAGGGTGCTGTCCCTGCCCTGTGTGTCCTTCAGGCAGCAGTCCCTCTTGCTTCTGAGAGCCGGCTGGACGATGATTGAGACCCAAGAGCAGGGGAGCTTCCTCTGGCCAGCCTGGGGTGCCCTGACTGGTTCATTCCTTCCTGCTGTTGCCCCCTGCTTGTGCTGCCCTCGCTGGAGCACCCCAGGTCCCCCGCTTTTCATCCCGTGGCTTCCCAGCTCCCAGCATGTCTGCCCAGATCAGGGTGCAACGCTCCAGCTCCCAGTTCTCCCAGTCATGCTCTCTCTTTCCAGTACTGGCCCCTGCCCCTCCCTGATGCACCCTGTCTGCAGCCTTGACCCTGCAGGCCGCAACCAGACCCGGGAAGGCCTTGCGGGCAGGACATGAACCTCACTCACCGGTGTCCCCAACCCAAGGCCTTCCACATGGGGACGCCACAGCTGTTTGTGGCAACACCTATGAATGAATTCCTGGAATGTCCTTCTCCGTCTAAATAATTCTGTCTCTTTCTTCCAGACCCAAGCCTCTGCCCAGGGTCTGGGGATTCTGTTTCCACTGGGCAAGTCATTTGCATTCTGAATGACAATACCTTTGGGCAGGATGTGTGTTTAGAGGAAAGGTGTCTCCTCCATGTCTATGGTTCTGACGAGACTTGGAAATGATAGGTCCACATATGGCTTTTCGGGGGCCCGTGCTGCATTTTAAAAACAGTTACTAACAGTTCGAATCCAGAAATTTCACACTGGAATCTAGATGTCTGGATTCTTCTGAAAACAAATAAATAGATAAATAGATAAAAGAGAAACCAGAAGACCCAGCAGATTTCATTCCTGCTGGGGGAGGGGACAGGTAAGAGTGGGATCTGAGTTCTCTGCTGCCCCCTTCAGGTGGGACACCTGCCCTCAGGACCACTGGGTTCCCATAGGGACCAGGGGCACTCATTTTGTTACCTGCCCGGCCCCTGTGGGCTTTTGAGTTTGCAGCCTCCGCACCATAGTCTTATAAGGTCAGGAAGAAAATCTCCAGGGGACAGGGACAACTGCTCCAGGGAGCAAGGGTCCTGGGTTGGGGGAGGGGCGTCCTGGGCTGTGCAGTCTTATTGTGTGGCCTGAGGCACTGTGAGACTCTGTTTCCCTATTTGCAACGTGGGGGTGTGGAGGACGGGGCCGTGATCTCCAGTGTCCCTGCAGAGAGACCTCTGGGCTTCTTTAGTGTTTCAGGCGCTTACCTTCCACGGGTCTCAGTTTCCCTCTGCAGAGTGCGGAGGCTAGCTTTGCTTGGCAGTGCCTGAAGCTGCAGGAGGGTCACTGTTACTCTGGGTCACAGTGCCCGTGTGGACAATAGCGTTAGCCCATCTACTAGTGCTGTCTCCCCCCAGGGTCCCGTGTATGTCACCTGTGGTCCTGCACATTGGCAGGCTTGCCCAGACCACGTTGCTCAAGGGCAGAGAGCAGGCAGGTCTTTGGTTGGGGAGGGGACTGACAAACAGGTCCGGCTCATGGGAGTCCTTGTGGGGTGAATGCGTGAGCTCCTGGCGCTGGCTTCTGGTCTTAGAGTCTCTGGATGGAAATACTGCTCCTGCTCTGTAGGTCTGGGAAGTCTGACCGGGCTGGTGGAGCTAGGCGTCTGAGAACCACGCATCTGTCTTGATCCGTCTGGGAGCTTTCTTGCCCATGGTCAGTCCTGGCTTAAGAGCCCTAGACTGTGGGAGAACCAGATCCTGGCATTCTTCTGCCTTGGCCAAGCCCTTCCCCTCTCTGGGTCCCCCCCAGTGGAGGGCTATGACTAATTCCTTGATGCCTGTGTCACCGGCTGAACTGTGCCCTCCCCCTTGTAAGCCCCTTCCCCCTACAATTCATATGTTGAAGCCCTAACCCGCAGTACCTCGCACTGACTTTATTTGGAGACAGGGCCTTTAAAGAGATGATTAAATTAAACTGAGGCCATTAGCGTGGGCCCTAATTCGTTATTACCTGTGTCCTCACGTAAAGAGATTAGGACACAGACGCGTGCACAGGGAAGGCCACATGAGGACACAGGGAGAAGGTGGACATCTATAAGCCCCGGAGAGTGCTCGCAAGGAACCAGCCCTGCAGACACCTCGATCTTGGTTTTCTGGCCTCCGGATCTGTGAGAATGCCTGCTGTTTAAGTTCCTGAGTCTGGGGCCCTTTGTTATGGCAGCCTCGAGCAGACTAATAATAATAAGGCCCATGCCCTAGTATTTTCTGTTCACTCCCGGAAGGGCAGCAGCCACTTGTGGCCAAGTCTGCCTTCCCACCTGGGGCAGGGGCTGGGCCCAGAGCCCCTCAGGCTCTCCACCATCCACAGCAAAGGGGACTCTGCTGCTGGAAGGGGACTTGGCTTGAGGCACCAGACAGACACTCAGGTAAGACCCAGCCCTGCCAGTGGCCACATGTCAGAATGAGTCGGAGACATTGCTGGCAGTGCACAACCTCTGGACTCTGACCCTGAGGGGTTGGATTTGCAAGTCTAGGGGTCCCGGCCAATCTTTGTTTCTAAAGAGTGTTCCCTGGTGGTGTCAACAGGCAGTGGGTGAGTTCAGGCAGCATGTGGAGGTCAGCTGGCCTCAGCTGGTGTCTGTCCTAGCCCAGGGACTTACCTCCAACTGATGCTCAGTGCTTTTGGCTTCAGACTTCACAGCTATTTCTGGCTCTTCCAGCAACTCTGGTATCTGGAGAATTGGGGCCTCTTTAGCCTTGGAAATGTGTCTGTCCTCCCACCATTGAAGCATCTTCATTCTAAAGTAATGAGCCCTGTGGTTAATACTGTGCTCCGTCTCCCCGTCCCCTCCTTGTTCCCAGAAGGAGCCCTAGGCTGGGGGTCAGAAGACCCTTTCCCTCCATTTGCTAGTTCTGTGACCAGCAACTCCCTCTCCTCCTCTAACAGGCATACAAATACCTACTCTGTTGGCCTGGATCCTCTTCCTAGCTTCTTTTCCAGCCTCCTGCCCCAGAGCTGACCTGCACCTTCCCTGCTCCCAGCCATCCCATGGCTCCCCAGCACCCCCATGACAAAGTCCCAGCCCTCCCCAACCCAGTCCCTTCACGGTGGTGCCTTTCCTCAGCTTCTCTCCCAGCCCTGTGATGTCTCAATATGTATACGATTTTTTTTTCTAGACTAATTTTTTACACCTTTTTTCTTTCTCTCAATATTTCCACTGTATCTGTGCATATTGGTACATTGACAGCCTCCTTAGTCTTTTTCACAGTTGCGTGGTGCTCTGTTGTGTAGATGTATCATTGGTTACATAACTGGTTCCCTTCCTTTCTTGCCCTGGCAACTGCAACTGCCCTGCTCATTGGTCCCCCTGCTTTGCTCAGTCTGGCTCTTCGCTGGGAGTGGGAATGCACATGGGATTTTGTTTGTATTCAGCTGTGATGAAGCTAACAGATTGGGGGAATGGCTGCCATTGAATAGATAGTTTGTTATTCAAAGTTCCCAAGAGGTGGGACATCTGGGTGGCTCAGTTGGTTAAGCATCTGCCTTTGTCTCTGATCATGATCCCAGGGCCCTGGGATCAAGCCCTGTGTTGGGCTCCCTGCTTAGCAGGGAGTCTGCTTCTTCCTCTCCCTCTGTCTCTCCTCTTGCTTGTGTGTGCTCTCTCTCTCCCTGACAAATAAATAAATAAAATCTTTAAAAAAAAATCTCCAAGTTCCCAAGAAGGGCACACCATGCGACACAGGGCCACATGGGGGAAGCTCCAGGGTTGGTCAGGGAAGTAGAAGGGGGAAGCTCATGTGGGAGCTTTTATTATGGTTTCTATGGGACTGGAATGGCACAGTAGGCAAGTTTAGGACTGGCCCACCAAAGTACCTCACCCACCTGGACATTAGTCAAGGATGGTCCTGTGACTGAAGCAGGGACCATCAGAGTCTTCTCTGGACTGATATATCCTCAAGAGGAAGACAAGTCCTGTCTCAGCTAGAGTTGCTGAGATAGGATACAATCATGTGCCTGCTCCTGGCCATCTTGCCACTAGGGGGAGAGAGCCTCCAGGGGTTAAATCTGAGAAATATTAAATCAGAAGCCCACAGTGAAAGGAAATGATGGAGGTAACAGAAGGAAGCAGAGCAAAGGCACGGGGACAGCAGACTCTTAATAATGTCATTTGCATACCTAGATCCAGTCATGTCTGAAGTATAGGTACTCCCCGTTATGGGCTGAATTGTGTCTTCCTCATCCCACCCAATTCATTCCAACACCCAGTACCTCAGAATGTAACTGTTTTTGAAGAAAGGACCTTTAAAAAGGTAATTAAGGTAAAATGAGGTTATATGGATGGACCCTAATCCATGTGACTGTACTTGGATAGGACCTTCAATGAGGTGATTAAGTTAAATTGAGGCTTTTAGGTGGGTCCTAATCCAATATGACTTGTGTCCTTGTAAGAAGAAGGACAGGTGCCTGGGTGGCTTCGTCAGTAAGTGGCAGACTCTGGATTTTGGCTGAGGTCATGGTCTCAGGGTTGTGGGATGGAGCTCTGCACTGGGCTCTGTACTCAGCACAGTCTGCTTGTCCTTCTCCCTCATGTCCTCCCCCAACTCATTCTCTCTTGCCCCGTCTCTAAAATAAATAAAAACCCGGGGTGCCTGGGTAGCTGAGTGGGTTAAAGCCTCTGCCTTGGGCTCAGGTCATGATCCCAGGGTCCTGGGATCAAGTCCTGCATTGGGCTCTCTGCTCAGTGGGGAGCCTGCTTCCTCCCCTCTCTCTCTCTCTGCCTGCCTCTCTGCCTATTTGTGATCTATCTGTCAAATACATAAATAAAATCTTTAAAAAATATTAAAATAAATAAAAATCTTAAAAAAAAAAGGAGAAGAGGGACAGACACCAGGTGTGTGTGTGCACAGGAATGATCATGTGAAGTGGTAAGAGGGTGACCATGCACAAGCCAAGGAGTCTTAAGAGAAAGCAATCCTGCTGACACTTGGATCTTAGGCTTCCAGCCTCCAGAACTATGAGAAAATAAATCTCTGTTGTTGAAGTCTTAGACTTAACAGATGGTCAATATGTTCCTGTAGCAGATTACGTACAGATGGCTGCAAATTTCTGGCACTCCTCCCATGGAGAAATGGGGTCTATTTTCCCTTCCCCTTGAATCTTGGCTAGTCTGTGACTTGTTCTGAGAGGATATGATGGAAGTGACATTCTATCAATTCCAGACCTAACCTTAAAAGAACTGGCAACTTTGCCTTGGAAGGGACCATGACAGACGAGGCTCTAACACTGCATGGAAAGCAAGAGGGGCCCAGGTGAGCCCCATCCTCTGGCTGTCCACAGCAAAATGCCAGGCATGTGAGTGAAGGCATCTTGGATCCTCTGCCCTAGCCCAGCAGCTAGCTAAATACCACCAAGTGACCTCAGTGGATACCATAGGAAGCTGAAGAATCATTCAGTTGGGCCCTACTCAAATTCCTGATCCATGAAATTGTGCGATATACTAAAATGACCATTGTTTAAAGTCACCAAGTTTAGAGGACTATAATATAGCAACAAATAGCCATAACTGTTTCCTTTTTCCTTGAGCTTGCTGAATTCAGCTCTTATTACTCACAACTGGAAGAGTCCTAACTAATGTGACTTATCTCCTTTAACCATTATCCTTCATGCATTATTCCTCAAAACTTTTCCACCTATGACAGTTTAAATCCCAATACTGTATGCTGTGCCTCATTCTGTCCTATTTAACTTCCTTATGCTCTCTTTCAGTCTTTGGTTTCTGTTCCTTGATCTCACAGATGGAGGCTTCAGATCCAAGATACCACATTCTCTAGCACCTTGGTTTCTCTTCCTTTTTTCCCTGCCTCACTGGGAACAATGGCTACCCACTCGAAGTGCTCTTTCCCCCAGCTTTCATATCTCTCTGGTGTTCCACCCCATCATCCTTCCATGGCATCCTGCCTGCAAATTCCCAAATCTAGATCAATTCCACCCTTCACTCTTTCTCTTCCAATGACCACTACTGAGAGGAAACATCACACAGCAATGACATTGTTGCCGCTAATATTGAACAATCTCCAGTCACCATTGGACCTTTGCTGCTGGTCACCAATTATTTCCCTTGTCTTCATGTGGATCCCACTCATTCTTCTCAGTGGCTATTCCAATCACCTCATCACCATCACCACTTTTCTTGATCCCTTCCCCTCACCCCTGCTCCCACCCACATCTTTCAGCAGATGGCTTCACCATCCTCCTTCACTGTGAAAAAAAAAAAAAAAAAAGCCCATGGGTAGGAGGGCCTCACCCCACCCACCAGAATCATAAATGCTACCTAAAGTGAACAAGAAAAATATAGAACATCTGCCATTGGATTTTGAGAATAATTCTGAGAATAAGGATAACTGACTGCTTTAGACAGTGCCATTTCAATGGCGTGGTGCTGGTGAGCAGATTGTAGGGGACTGACGAATGTAAGGGTGATGAGAATCAGGCAGTGGGAGTAAGCTCTTCTCTCAAAAAAAATTGGATGGTACATAGAGGGTGTTTGTGGGGCTGAGGTTGGAGAGATTTGGGCATGTTTATACCCTTCAGAGAAAGAACTGGTGAAGAAAGAATGACTGAAAATTTAGGAGACAGAAGAGATGATTAATGGAGTGTGGAGGAGATGGATTCCCAGGCAAAGGAGGTGAGGCTAACCTTGGACAGGAAGAGGGATGCCTCTTTCTCTGAAAAAGGCAAGAAGTAAATCACCAGTGCCAGTGGCAATAACTCTGTAGGTGTTGGGGAGTTGCTTTTTTCCTGTGAAGTGGGTAAAACTTGTTGCCCAGTGAGGGGAAGGAGATAAGAGAAGAGGGGAAGGAAAGAAAACATCTGTAATACTGATAAGGCGTCATATTGGGAAAGGCTCTCGGGGGTGTGTGGGAGGATTTCTTTTTTTTTTTTTAGATTTATTTATTTTAGAGAGAGAGTGGGGAGGAGGGGCAGAGGGAGAGGGAAGGAAGCAGACTCCCCATTCAGCAAGGAGCTGATGTGGGGCTTGATCCCTGGACCCTGAGATCATGACCTGAGCTGAAATCAAGAGTCAGACACTTAATTGACTGAACCACCCAGGTGTCCTGTGTGGAAGGATTTCTAGGCAGTACGGATGCCACCTTCCCCTACAAGGATGGAGATTCTGAAGGGTGGGGTCCCCTTAGTATCTCCCTTGTATGGACCTTTAACCTAGCACTTGCTTACTTGTCTATATCCCTAGAAAATGCAGGACATAGAGCAAAAGGACAAACAGAGGAAAAAAGAAAATCTGAGAAATATTAAATCAGAAGCCCACAGTGAAAGGAAATGATGGAGGTAACAGACACGAGAGCACAGATGAAAGAGGCAAAGCAGATGTACCTAACAACAAACAAACAAAACAGATACCCACACTTAGTCACATCAGAGTAGAACCATTAGCACTAATACTATCCAAAAGCCCAGATGGCTGTGGGGGCCCTGAAAAAGCACCCAGCCCAGTGCCAGGGAAGGTTTCCTGGAACACATGGTGGAAAGGCTGTGAGCTGAGCCCTTAATGATGAGTAGATGTCAGCCTGGTGAGACAGGGGAGCAGGGATGGGAGGAGAAGTGCAGAGAAGGGCACTGAGCAGAAATCACAATACAACTAGAAAAGATGAACTTGATTTAAAGCCTATGTATCTGAAAAAAAGAAAAAGCCTATGTATCTGTTGTAAACAGTCTTCATCAAGTGTAGAATACACATTCTTTTTAAGCCTGTGTGGAATGTTTATAAAAACTACCACAAAGAAAATAAAGAATTGAAATAATTCATAGTATTAAATCCACTTATTGGATTTAAGCTAGAAATAAAGAAAACAGGATCATTAGAATACATTGGTATGTCTAAGAAAAACTCTCCTGGGTTAGAAATCAAAATGGAAATTAGAACTATCTTAACCAAGTGATACTAAAATACTTTATACCAAAGTTTGTGAGATGCAACTAAAGTTGTGCTTAGAGGGAAATTGATAGCCTTACACTCACATATTGGGAGAGGAAGAATGGCTAAATTAAATGATATAAGAGACCATGTTAAGTGGGCAAAGAAGAACAGATTGGAAGGATTATAATGAAGGAAATAAAGAACATAAATAAATGTAGTAGGTGTTGGAAAAGTCTTGATAATGAATTTTAACCTGATACTCACATGAGGAGGACAAGGAAGAAGAAGAACAGTGCGGAGATGATGGATCCATACACGATGCCCTGGGTCAGCCCTTTCACGAACACACTGGAACCTGAATGCTTATCTGGAATCAGAGGGAAGTGAGAGTGGTTATTTTTTTTTCCTCCTAAGGCTGGCAGTCTGAGCTACCACTCTTTCCTCTGGCCCTGCGCCCATCCTCATTTTGATCCCCCGGTGTTGTTGTTCTAGCCCAGTCAGTAGACCCCTGTGTACCGACCTGGTAGGAGGAAGACACGTGAAGCATGGATTCCATGTTGGTTCTTCCCCTCACAGCGGAGATTCATGAGTAAATCTGGCTCCCCAGTGAGGCTAATGGTGCTGTTGTTCCAGGCACCAATTACCGTGGAAGTCACCTTGAAGATGCTATTTGTGTTGTTGACACTCACAGGAACACCTTCCAGCAACCACTGCATAGAGGGTGTGGGGAGCCCATGGAAGGAACAGCTACACTGCAGAATCTTCTCCAAGGAACAAGAGGAATTAAGCAGCCTTGTGGGTGCTATGGGGAGAGAGGGTCAGCAGTCACCAAGGCATCCTGACTTCCTTTCTCCACTTTCTCCTTTTCCTTATTCCTATTCTTATTCCTGATTCCCAAGGAGCTTCAGAAAAACTTTCAGAAAAGCTTTCAGAGAAGCTTCTCTGGGCTTCTCAGACCAGTTTCCCTTCATCCTCTTCCTCACCTGTGTCTGATTCTTGTTTAGCTCTTACCTCTGGTCTTTCAGCCGCTGAAGCCTGGTAAAGATGTGACAGCTTGCCAGACTCCTCCCACCCAACCCTGCCCCAGGACTCGGGAATTTCTCCTGAGCCCACCACTTCTCCCAGACTCTGGATCTTCCTTTGCCCACCAGCACTCACAGACCACTTGGAATGCAACCTCAGCACTTTCAGAGAACATAGCTGGGGAGAAATTCAAATGACATCTGAGGGTGGTGTTATAATCCTGAGGCTTCAGGGTGAGGTACAGCAGTAGGAGGAGGAGTTGCTGGAGCCATCTGTGCTGGTGAACATGGTGGGCCAATTCCAGGAAAGGAAAGGGGCTTTGTTTTCTTTTCGGTGCCTTTAATGGTACAAGTCAAGATCATAGGATCCCCAGCCACGAGAATCTCTAGGATGTGGAGCTCTGGTTTCTGGGTCTGCCCTGAAGGGAAAGACAGATTGGACTGAAACGAGGGATCCTCATGGATACTTCAATGACCCACAGTGTCTCCAGGTTACAAAGCATTTTCTCACCCATAAGTTCACCTGGTACACCCTCCCCACTCTGATAACCTCATGGAACTTGATACTGTTACTGTTGGATATATTTTCACATGGATATTTCCCTTCTCTGCACTATCTAGGTGAGCAAACTGAGGAGACTTCCTTAAGGAGGCAGAGCTTGAACCTGAATCCTGGACTCTCAAGCCTAAGGGTGAGAGAATTTTCTGAGATCTACATTGCCTCTGATTCCTTACCTGTCCCCCAGCCCAGACCTCCTAGGGTCAGTTCCTACAGTGCATCTTCCCTCCCAATCCAACTGTCCCCTCAGGCTCTGCCCCTTTCCAGCAGATCTGTGATTGCTTCCCCATCCACCTCTTACTTGCTGGATGGTGTGGGGCAAGTCACTTTCCCCCTCTTTTATTTCTGGAAAAATAAAGTTATCAATTGTACCATATCACTGTATTATTGTAAAAATGATATACCTAGGATTTTATAAAGCTCTATGAAGTAAAAACCACACAATTATCAGAACATCTTCTTGGAGTTCCTCCTTTACAAACCACTCATTTGAATGAGATTGTCATCTGATATGGAGAGTTTTATATCCTCCTACAGGAAGGACTCTTGTGTTCTAGATCTGCACAGAATAAGTAGGTCATAGTGTCCCTTTTAAGTACATTGTGGATCAGCAGGGTACAGTCTTGTTCGTCAAGATTTCAAATAGTGTGGAATCTGCCCTTGGTGTTATTATCTATGGTAGCACTGGGTTGATTTATAGCTACACAGGACCCGATATTTTTATTGAAACAGTAGGCCATGGGCACAGAATTGCTTGGGGATTCCTTGGGAAGTTCAAATATTCAAAGGATTACACATCTTCTACTTGTAGCTTCTTGAGTTCCACCAAAACATGAGAAAGTAACCCTGTGGGGAGGGATTTAAGTTGAAAAACTGACTAACCTAGTGTCCTCCAGTATCTCACTTGTGCATTAAAGGATTAAGCTTACCCTAGAAAGGTTTGACCATTTCCCAGCTCTAGGGAGGTAACCTCTAAGCCCTTGGAATGTCCTCCTGATAAGAGTGTCTATTACCTAGGGCCATGGGTCATGCCGGATAGTCTATATGAACAAAGTGGTTTATGGAGGGGACCTTGGGCCATATGTGGTATCAGTTTGACCTCTGGAGGAGCTAGAGACTAAGGTCAGCCATGCCTATGTGACCAGGCCCCCAGTAAAAACCCTGGACACTAAAGCTGAGTGAGATTCCCTGCCTGGCAACACTGGGCATATTGCCAAACATTGCTAGGAGAAATAAATACTGTATGCACAGCTCTACTGGGAGAAGACAACTGAAAGCTTATGCCTAGTCTCTCCTAAATCCTGCCCTTCATGCCTCTTCCCTCTGCTGATTTTAATCCCCATTTGTTTGCTGTAATAAATTGCAACTGAGAATATAACAGTTCTGCTAAGTTCTGTGAGTCTTTCTTGTGAATCATTGAACCTGAGGGTGGTCTTGTGGACTCCTAAGTGTACCACCACAATTTAGCCCGCTGGGTTTTTCTGTTGTTCTTAGTGTTGGTACTAATTTTATCTTGCGAAGTTGGCCATGTAGCTCCATTTCTGAATCTCAGTTTCTCAATCAGAAAAATGGGCACAATACTACCAATACTACAGTGTTGTGGGAATTAAGAGATATTAACTAAAGATGTACATAGTACTCTATAATAATTGTAGACTGTAACTTAGCTGTTGGCTCTCACTGAACAAGTATTCTTTTCCTTGCTTTCTTCATTTCCCAGGTGACAGGTCCCTTATGCATAAAATGGAGGGAGGCCGAGGCCACTTCTAGTAATGTCATCCTAAAATTACGGTTATATTACTGACCTGTATAATTGTTTATAGATTTTCCAACACCTTCATAGAAAGCAGTTTAAGCCATCCTGATAATGGTTTTTTATAGTCCCTTAGACAGGTGAGAAACTGGGGCTCAGAAAGGTTAAGGGCCTACTTCAGGTTACAGAGAAAGGAGTAACAGCATCAACTAGAACCTGGTTTTCCACATGTTAAGTCCAGTATTCCAAAACATCACCACAAGGGATCTCAACATTCTTGGTTCTGGAACACCATGCTATTTCTCTTCTCTAAGACGTGACTTAGTAACACCCACCATACACAGATGATGGTGTTGAGAAAGCAGATGTGTGTACATTTATCATTGAAGTTCTGGAGTGGCATGGGCATGGCATTAAAATGGAATTAAGAGTCAGAGGAGTTGGGCACTCCAATAGCGAAATTTCTAATGACTTGTGGCAAGTTGCTGAATCTCCCAAAGCCTGTTTCCTCATCTGTGAAATGAGGACAATAATTCCTCAGGGAGCTTTTGGGTAGATGAAATGGGACACACTCTGAGTCACAGAATATGCACATGGAAGATGTCTATTATTTATTATTTATCAGTACTTAATTCTCTATGTCTTCACCTTACTCAGCCCTGTCTTCCACTCCCCACCCATACCCACCTCACCCCTACTCTTTTTTCACTTCCTCAGACACCTCCAACCCTGATTCTCATTCTATTTACCCAACCATAACAGTGGCAATGACATAAGCACCAACAGGATCTCAGGGACAAGAAAGGGCCAGGACCTATCTGGTTGCTAACTCAGGCCTCATCCATATGTTGTGGAGGGCAGGATTTGGAATGGATGAAGAGAGAATCAGCAGTAAGAGGCATGGGGTAGAGGTTGAGGTAAATTCATAGCCTACTAGGGGCTTTTGTCTCTTCAACCACTCTTAAATTCTGTTTACCTTGAGAATTAGGAGCTTCATGGGAACAGATGCTAAGGAATTTCAAGGATAGAGCAGTGTTTCCGAGACTCTCTCTGGAGCCCCAGTACCATGTCTTTCTTCTTTCTCCTCTAGTCATCACCCCCAGGTCCTTCCCTCTTTGAAGGACCTCAACTGCCAGACTGAGGAGCTTGACCTCTCTCCCAAGTCGATGGGGGAAGTCATGAAAATCACTTTCAAAGATTTTGAACCATGGGGAACATATTTGGGTGTCATAAAGATCACTATGGATCTGCATTGAGGAGAAAGAAATAGTTCAAGAGGAAGAAATAGTGGCCATGTGGGTGGAGAGGACAGAATATATTTAAGTAGTATTTAAGCAATAGAAGACATTTCTAGGTCAACAGGATAAATTCCAAACTCCTTTGCCTTGCATTTGAGGCTGTCCATGATTTTGCTCAAAAAGTTGCCCTATCTCCACTGCATCTTTCCCTAGCCTCTGCTATTCTTTGCCTGTCAAAGAGAGAAGTACCTTTCCACATATAGTCTATACATTCCTGTCTCTGTATGTTTACTTGGGGCACTCTTCTTTTCACTACATTCTTCTGCAACTCTCCGCTCTGCCCACATTCAATCCTAGCCCTCTTTCTAAGTCCAGGTCAAATGAACTTCCATCAGGTAGCCTTCCATGATCTCCACAACCAGAAAGAAGCCTCCATTCCTAGACTCACTTCAACATCCCTATCCATTCATCTCTTTTAGGGCAATGTCTCAGACAAACTCTGAGAAATGCCTACCTGATAACCACCCTCCTGTGTATACTTATAATTTCAAATTTGTTCAGATGATCAACCCCCAGTTAAAAACAAAACAAAACAAAACAAACAAACAAACAAACAAACAAAAAAACAAAAAACCCTTTATTTCTCTGCCTCCTCTACATCCAGGAATGGCTCTATGATTGTTGTGGCCAATACAAGTACAAGTACAAGAAAAATGTCTTGTGTGGATAAAAGCCTATTCAGCATTTACCCTACTTTCTTTATCATTACAACTGAGCTCTGAAGGTCTGTTTTTTGCATATATTGCTAGCTAATGGAATTCCAGACCCTGGTTTTAAAAAAATAAGTTTTCATAATGAAAGGAAACAAGTCTTAGAAAGAATGAAAAAGATGTTCACTTCCCCTGAAGCTATAAATCAAAAGATATTGTTTTGTGTTATAAAAGGACTCAAGGAATCTGATTTGATATTGTACAAAACTGAGAATGTTTATAAGAATATAATTTATGTTCTCCTTTGCAATATACAGTTTTGTATGAATATTCATGACTGTTGCTGACTTCTTCTGTTCTCTGTTGATACAAATCCGCCCTTGGAAGAACAATTTAAATAAAGTGGTCTTATGAGACTCTAAAGACATTAGAAATTATTCCATGTCTTATGAAAATTATATCCAAATAAAATAGAATTCTGACCAGTTGTCTTATTTGATAATTTCTTGCTCTGATAACAATAATATTGTAACTGACATGTCTGTTTTCTTAAATTGTACACCCATCTGTAGGACTGTACTCTTCTTTTCTCCCACATGTGCAATGCAAATAAAAACTTTGGACTCTGCTCGATTTATTATTAAGCAAATATTCTGAGAGACTTGTCTACTTAGAATACCAACCATGAGGCTACCTGCCAAAGACTTTTTTGAGATTTCTATTTTTCTGATATCAGCACTACTTTCTCTTTGTTGCTTTCTTCTTTTTCAAAACCCGTCCCTTCTTGCTCCTTCTCCTCCTTTTTCCCTGGAATATGGATGTGATGCTGGAGGTGGAGCAGCCATTTGACAACCATGAGATAACCATAAAGATCCAAGCCACAGACCAAGGATACTGTAAACAACAATATAGTGGTCCTGGTTCCCTGACAGCTTTGTGGAGCTGCAACATTCACCTTGTACAGCCTACAAATATGCTTCCTCTTCATTCGGTTGTTGCTCTACTTGGGAAACTGGTCAAATATCCCACAGGGGAACTATCCAAGAATGAGATTCTTGAGGAAAGATCCTACATCAAATAGATCTTTGTGTCCTCCAGGGTCTTAAAAAGGTTCTTGTCTGAAAAAAATGTATAAGCACATATCTTGATGATTTTCCAACTATTAGTTTCCAGTTTAATTCCACTGGGGTCAGAAAACATACTTTATATTATTACAATTCATTTAAGTTTGTTGAGACTTTATAGCTCAGAATATGTTCTAAGTGTTCCAGGACCTATTGAGTACAATGTGTATTCTATATTGTTGGATGGGATAGTCTATAAATGTCACTTAAGTCAATTTGGCTGATGGTATTTTTTTTTAAGATTTTATCTATTTATTTGGCAGAGAGAGCGAGAGCACAAGCACAGGGGGTGGCAGGCAGAGGGAGAAGGAAAAGCAGGCTCCCTGCTGAGCAAGGAGCCCAACTTAGGGCTCAATCTCAGGACCCTGGGATCACAACCTGAGCTGAAGGCAGATGCTTAACCAACTGAGCCAACTGAGTCAAACAACTGAGCCACCCCAGTTGCTGGTATTCTATATCCATACCATTTTTTTTTTCCATCTGCTTGCTCAGTTACTGAGAGGGGAGAGTTGGATTAGCCTAGTTCTCCTTTCAGTTAGATTAAGTCTTTTTTTATTTTTGAAATTAAAAAATTTAATTAGAAATTAATTCTTAGAATCTAATTGAATATAGTGATTTATTTACAACCTCAAATCAAAGATTAAGGAGAACTCTGGGGTGATTCCAGATAAGGCTTTGCCAGTAACTCACTGGAAACTTTAGACAAGTGCTGTTCCCTCTTTCCCCCCATTTTCCCCATCTGTAAAAGGAGCAGGTGTTATTGCCCATGCGTAATGGTCCTTCTGACTTCAAAATTATGATCTCTTCCAAGTCTCTTTCCCTTCTCCAGGGCTTGGTGCAGCCATGGGTTGTCTCCACAAGAAACCTCTTTCCTCTTCCCGCTAAATAATCATTTCCCTTTCCAGACTTACCCTCGTCTTGGGTGCCCACAGCTCCAGCCTGGACAGTCCTCAGCACGTCTCCACTCTGCTATTTCCGTGACAACTCAATGTCCTCCTTGAGTTTGGTTAAGGGCATCACGGGGACTTAGCCAAACTCACCATTGGCTGACTTACTACTTACAGGAACTTACTTTCCAGAGGGAGGAATTGATTGGCTGATTTAATGGCTTCCTACAACCCAGATCAACTGACATGTGCAATAAGCATGTGTACAACTACTGAGTGACTCACTGGGAAGGGACTAAGGTAGAGGAAACCTAACTGATTAGCTCACTCATAACAAGTTCATTAGGTGGCATGTGAGTCCCCAGCCTCACCAACGTCCCAAGGGCCTGAGGTCACGTGGGGATGTTGCTCCCCCAAAGCCCCGCCCCTCAGGCATACCAGTAAGCATGCGCGAATCTCTCCAGAGCCAATCAGGGCCTGAGGATGCGCGTGGGGGCTGCTGGGACAGGGAGAAACCATGAAGTAGAACCGTTGGTCTCCTGCGCTTGAGAGAGGTTGGAGTTACTGGTGTTTCGTTTATCTTGAGCCAGAGGTTCGAGACCCCTGCCGGCCCTGGAGACGTGGGGCAATCTGTAAGGAACACTCCTTCCTCAAGCCAGTACTTGTGGGCAAGCAGGTGATGGGATGGATTGAAAGCCATCTACCAAGGAACAAAATGCCAAGTGCTTGACCCTCAGGGCCCATCAGAAGGCATCTTGGTACCCCTTTTCCTTCCTGCAAGTAGGGTCTCCTTCATCAACTAACCGAGACACCTGAGGAAGACCCAGTTCTCCATTATCTGTCAAAACTTATCACAGGGGGAGCCTGGATGGCTCAGTGGGTTAAGCCTCTGCCTTGGGCTCAGGTCATGGTCTCAGGGTCCTGGGATGGAGCCCCACATCAGGCTCTCTGCTGGGCGGGGAGCCTTGTTCCCCCTCTTTCTCTGCCTGCCTCTCTGCCTACTTGTGATCTCTGTCAAATAAATAAAATCTTTTTTTTTTTTTAACCTATCCCCGACCTATTCCCAACCCAGTTCCCATCCTCTCTCCCGTTTCTCTTCTAGATGGCTTCTCCACTCCTTAGGAGCCCGTTTTCTGAAATTACAAAGCACACAAGGAAATAACCCTCTCTCCGTGAGTGAGGATAAAACTTAAACTTCTCACCAGAGCCTTTGAAGCCCTGAAAGGCCTGGCACCTCAGGATCTCACCCTTCCATCTGGGCTCAGGTGCATAGATCCCCTCTCTGGGCTCTTGGACTCACTAAACTTCTCCTATCCCAGAGCCTAGAATCTGCTGACCCCCTAATAATCCTTTCGGCCTCAGCACAAATGTCACTTTCTCAGAGAGGCCTTCTCTAATTCTCTAATCCAAACTAGGTTCTTCCCCTGGTCCCTTATATTTTCTCATAGTGTTAGGTCCTTTTTCTTCCTAGCACTTGTCAATATTTTAAGCTGCAATTTTGCATTTATTTCTTCATTGTGAACCTGTGTAGAGCACGAGCTTCATGGAGGCAAGGCCAGTGTCTGGCTTGTTCACCTCATTATCTGGCACAGTGTGTGCTCCTGTCTCTGTGGAATGTGTGAACCGCATACCAAAAGGGTGTCCATACATGTGAGGGCTTATATAAACATCTGCTCTTGCGTACAGGATAACCATCACATTAGTGCTGGATGGAGAACCATTGGATTTACACACAAATAATGCCCCAAGGAAGAGATGACCCTTTTTGCAGCCTCTAAAAATTGCCAGCATCTTGCACCAGAAGGGAATGTCATCCATTCTGAGGGGAACAGTACACAGCTATGGCCAGATCTCATGCCAGATTCTTGTTCTCATTCCTTGTATGCCTACCTTTCAGCCTGGCCAAGAAATATTCCACTGACCTTTTAAGTGGTCTCTTTGCCTTCAGTCTTCTTCTAAGTACATCTTCAATAACTACTCCTAGAATGATCTTTCACTATGTATCTGGCCACTACTTTTTTTTTTCTAGTTTCAATGGGAGAATTTAGTGATTCATTAGTTGCATATAACCCCAGTGCTCATTATATCAGTGTCCTCCTTAATGTCCATTACCCAATTACCATTTCTCCAACCAACCTTCCCTCCAGCAATGCTGTTTGCTAGAGTTCAGTCTCTTATGATTTGCATCCCTCTCAACTTTCATTTTATTTTTTCCTTCCCTTCCCCTATGTTCATCTGTTTTGTTTCTTAAATTCCACATATGAATGAAATCATATGGTATTTGTCTTTCTCTGACTGACTTATTTCACTTAGTATAGTACCCTCTACTTCCATCCACATCATTGCAAATCCGGCCACTACTTTGCTTCAAACCTTGCAACAGCTTATAATCCACCCATCCACCCCTCCATTCATTCACTCAATTATCCAACAAACAATTTTGAGAGTCTGTTATATTTTAGGAACCATTCTAGGTGCTGCTGGTACAAGCAGAAAACAAGACAAAATCCCTGTTCTTGTGGAACTTACATTCTAAGGGAGTCAGGATTAAGATCCTACCAGATAAAGCTCCAATGCCTTATCTTAGCATTCAGCGACCTCAGGAACTCAGCCTTCCATCTAAGCTCCAGTGCATAGACTCCATCTAGGCCCTTGGACTCACTTTGTGTCTTTTCTCCACCTCTACCTCTGGACACCACCTTTCACTCACTCTCTACCCATGTATCTCTCAGGGCAGTGGTGAAAGGTCTTATCCAAAGACATATAGCCACTAAGCCCTGAAGTTGGTATTCAATCCATGTATGATGGGTCTAAAGCCTGAGCATACAGTAGGTTCTGGGCATACAGTAGGGGCTCAAAAGCTACTTTTCGGTGGACCATGGTCTCACATTAATTTTCCCTTCCTTTGACACCATCCCAGGCCAGAGAATATTTCTTCTAGTTAACCTGAACAGCAAATCATAGAGTTTGCTGTCAAATGTTCTAAGACCAGGTCCCAAAGTAACCCTATTCAATGGAGAACCAGTGTGAGGGACAGGTGGGGCTTTAGGGATCTTTGGGATTGTCATAGACTCCAGGGTTTCTGGGGCTGCTGAGAATTCTGTAGACTGTGATAATTCCATGGACAGTGGGGACTCCAGGTAGGCATGTAGTCTTCACAGGTGTCATCAGTTCCAGTTTATTTTCCTTTTTCTGGAAGTTTAGGGTAAGGGATGCTACAGAGCAGGGCAAAGAAAGAAGGATGTTGGAACAGGTCTAGAGGTGAGGTATCCAAATCTTAAAAAGGAAATTTCCTGTCTCTCTCTTTGAGCACAGAATTACAGTAATGTGGAGCAAGCACTGGCTTTACCTTTTCTCAGAATCTCATGGCTGGAGTCTGCAACCCTGTCTTCTCCTGCTGGTCCTCCATGTGCATTCCCAGCACCAGGAGCCCACCCAGAGTTCCTCAGACTCCTCTGGGAGGTTCTGCCTGACTTCCCAAGGTAGGGTTAGTCCCTCCTTCCTCTGGGCAACCATAACCCCCTCTCAGCCCTGTTACTGTAAGGCTGCCTTCCTACTAGCCTGATTGTTCTCTGAGGGCAGGGCCTAGGTCTCACCCATTTCCAAGACTCCAGCATTGCCCAACATGGAGGTTAGGAGATACTGCAGGACATTTTGTTGGAATTTAAGATGCATGGTTTATCCACAAAGGAACATGAGTTCCTAGTGCAGAGTGTAAGGAGGGCAGCAGGGCATTTCTGATCCCAAAGACTTATAAATGGTAAATAACAGTGAGGCCTGTCTCTTCCAAGCCCTGCTGAGGATATGGGGTCCAAGGTAAATGAAAGAGTACCTTGGCTTTGAGAGTACCTTGGCTTTAGGAGTACCTTGGTTTTGGGCTGGTCTTCAAGCACTTCTGGCTAACTTGGGTCTGTGGCATCTACAGACTGTGTTGACCACAGCCTGCCAAACACTCAAGAGACCAAAGCCTGTGATTTCTACTCTGATGCCACAACCACTGTTGGCTCTTTTGACCCCCTTCTCAATATGGATTCAGTGTGAAGGGGTGTGTGTGTGTGTGTGTGTGTGTGTGTGTGTGTGTACATTGCTGATTCTAATTAGTTTCTATTTCTCTTAATTTTCATCCTTCTTCCTTTCATCATCTCTAAGATGATCTGGTAGCACATTCTGGTATTCTAGATGCCCTGTAGGATTGAGGATGATAGTTCCTTTAAACACTGTATGTGCCTCTCTTTGTGAGTCTTATTGCCATCATTCTGATAGACTAGATTCCAGACACAATGGATACCCACCAATATTTGGTTCTCTGAAGATGGGCTGATTGTGGATTTTTCTGGCTCTTTAGGCTTCAGAGGCATCTTGGCTTCTTGGCTTGGTCTGACTGTAGGGTTGTTTTCTGCTTTGATTGCTGCAACTTCCTTTGTCAGCTTCATTCTGATATATTTCATTCTAAGGAAGTGACAGCCCCCCCCGGTTAGTTCTGGCTTTCTGCCCCACAATGGGCTCCAGTCTTGACCAGAAGTTCTGGTTTAGAGCCTCAGTGACACACTGGCTTGTTGTGTTATCGAGGGCAAGCCATACAGCTTCTCCGGGAATTGGTTTTATCCCCTGTAGGATGGGGAGACCTTATTTGTCAGGCTGTGGGGCTCAGATGAGGTCAGCTATAAAAGGGCTTTGCAAACTGTAAAGGATTGTTATTGGTCTTTAAGTCCAGCTGATTACACTTTAAAAATAGCTCCCCAGTTTGCCCTGCTGCTTTGCGCCTTTCCCTTTTCACCCCTTATAGTCAGTCAGTCCCAAGTCCCATCTCTTTGACTGCCCCTCATCACTTGCCTGGCTCAAACCTGGCTCTCTGCTGTGTAGTCTATGGCAAAAACTTCCAGCCTGGCTTCATGCCTCTGTGCCCCTGCTCTTTGGTTTCTGTGCAGACACCTTCCCCTAGGAGCTTTCCTTCCCACTTTAGCACTGTTCCATGGCTCTCAACTAAGGATTGAGTCCAAGACACTCGGACTGGCCAGAGGCCCCCCTGCCAGACTCCCTGGCCTGACCTCTGGGAACTCTGCCCTTCTCATTCTGGGCTTCTAGCCAATACATTTAGCCAACTTTCAAGAGTCTTTATGAACTAACATCAAGAAGCCTTTTCAACTTCATTTTTAGCCATTTCCAATCACTCTCAATGTACCTGACATTGCACAAAGACACTGGCAATTCCTCAAATGTTTCTCTGGGATACACATATACTACTTTCCACCAAATAAATGAGTACTCAACCCCCCTAGGCCCACTTCAGACAGTACCCTGGGGATTCCGCTGCCTTCTCCAGGGCTGCTACTTCCTGCTTTACTTTCTCCTTTATGAAACTTGCTGAAAACCTCTGTCTCTGGGACCTATATGTGGCTCAGCATTGTCCTGATGGTCCTGGACTGTGGTGACCATTTTGTTGCCCTCTTCCCTTGTCAGACTCTAAGCTCCTTGGGGGCAAGGGTCCTGTCTTTCCCTCTCCATGGCAGCCTTGCAGGGCCTGCCAGGTAGAATTTTATCCCTGGTACTCACATGAGTGGGGAGAGGCAGAGGAACATCAATGCAGTTGCAATGGCTCCGTAGACAATGCCCTGGATCATCCCATTAATGAAGGTCTTGCTGGATGAAGGACTCTTTCCTGGAAAAAGAGAGCTTGTGAGAAAGGCTTCTCTCCTGAGACCTTGGAATTGGAGTCAAAGTTCTTCTCCCCCCCCCCATTTCACTCTTCCTCACACAGCCACTGGGCCTCCTCTATCCTCACTTGGTATCAGTAGGATGCTCAAAGCCTGGGTTCCATTTTGGTTCTTCCCCTTACAGAGAAGCTTCATGCTCATTTTTGGCTTCTCCGCCAAGCTGATGGTGCTGTTGGCCCAGGGGGCAATTATGGTGGAAGTCACCTGGAGGTCGCCAACTGTGTTGTTCTCATCCACAAGAGAACCTTCCATCCACCACTGCACGGAGGGTGTGGGGATCCCACGGAAGGAACAGCTGCACTGTAGAGTCCTCTCCGCGGAGCAAGAAGAATAGAGTAGCCTGGTGGGTGCTGTGGGGAGGGAGGGTCAGCAGTTAGCAAGGTCTCCGGGCTTCCTTTCTCCACTTCTCCAGGACCCAGCCTTCTCCTTATTTGTGATTCCCAAGGAACTTTGGAAAGACCTTCTGGAAGCCCAGAGGAGTCAGGCTTCACAGACCAGTTCCTCTTCATCCTCTTCCTCACCTGGCCTGAAAGTGAACACTGGACCTGACTAATGGCAAAGGAACTTTCTGAGGATCTGCACTGCTGACTCCTTACCTGTCCCCTACCGCCAGCCCCAGGCTAGACTTCCCCGCCTCAGCTCCTACTTTCCTCTTCCTTCCATCCTTCAAGCTCTGCTCCTACCTAGCTCCACCTGTGATCAATTTCTCCTGTCTGGATGCTGGTGGCCAAGTCACTTCCCCTCTTTGTTCTTTCCCAGTTTGGAAAATAGGGGTATTCACTGAACCTGTATCTGGCTATCATGGATATAAAAATGAATGCCCTAAGGTTGACAGTGTTACTAGCTGAATATATGGTAAAGTGTTATCCACTCAATAAACAGAACACCTTTCTAGACTTCTTTCTTCCCAGCCCCAGGTTGCCTTTGATTGAGCATTCATCCTAAGCAGAGATTGCTTTGGCATTTTCTGGGTAAGAACATTTGAGCCTGCCTCACTCTATGTAGAACAGGTAGGATATATTGTCCACTTGGTGATTTTGTCAGTTAATAAGAAATGGTCACACTCTACAAGGTCTCCAATTAGGAATCAGTTCTTAGTGTTTCCACATGCTTTTCCACTGGAGTTATTTGAGGTTACTAGAAGAAAGGGCTAATTTTCTCTTAAACAGTAGCCCTTGATTTGAACTTTTCATCTGGGTCACTTGGGGGGGTGAAGAATTTGCAGGGACTCCCCCACTGCTGTCCTCTGGATTATTTTTACATCTGGGAAAGCATGCCTGTGGACAGTGGCCAGCAGATATGGGCCACCTGACTAACCCTGGGCCTTCTAGTTCCTAAAGCTCTCATCTCTTCAACCACCTTGACTGAGTGTCCACCCTCACTCCCAACTCTGCTCTCTGGCCCAATCTGCTATTCACCCCAGCCACTCCCAGCCCTGCCAGGACCCAGTGCACAGATATCTGGTCCGTATTGGTTATTTGGTACCCTATACCCTTCTGTCCTCTCATCTCATACCCCCGCAGCCCAGCCCGCCCCAGTCCTGGAGCCTCAGGCACCTCCAGAACTCACTTGTCCCACTCACCCAGCTGTGGCAGGGGTTCTGCCATCTGCAGCAGCAGTGGTCCTCAGGAAGAGGAGGGGCTAGGGCCTTTGCCGCAGCTGGCTCTCACATCAGAGCCGTGTGGTTCAGAAGATGAGAAGATGAGTAACTGAAAGAGGATGTGGGGATGGGAGAGCAGAAAGTATTCTTAGCAAGCCACAGGCTTTAATCTCTGGTCATCCCGGAAGCCTGTTTGCCCTCAGAAGCAGCAATCACATGGGATGAGACGTTCAAGAGCATCAAGGGACAGGCAGCTCCCCTACGACCTCTGTGAGGCCCCAATGCCACGTGTCCTTCTCTCCCCTCTGGTCTTTCCCTCTTAGTCCTAGCCCAGTTGGGAGGAACTCATTTACAGAGTCTTTGGGTTCTGTCTCAAAGCTAATAGGGATTCATGAAAGGGCTGTGTACCTCAGAAGGGCAGGGACAATCTGGGTGTTTGGAATAACCCACTGGGGACCCAGGAGAAATGGCCTAGATTGGAGCAACTCCGGCCAGGTGGCCAGGTGGCCAGGGAGGAGCCTGGAATGCTGGTTGGGAAAGAATGACATACTGGAGTTACTGTGTGTGTTGTGAGGGATGGAGAGGGTGGAAAAGCCTTAACAGATCCTTTGGGAAAACGAAAAAGAACAGGAATTCCTACTGCTGATAAGAAAAGGTCCACACTTCTTTGTTTTGTAAATGAGGTTCTCCACAATTTGCCTCACCCTTGCTTTCTGTCTCCCTGTGCCTTTCCCAACATTTTCCATGCCAAAGGGAAAATGCTGCCTTCTCCAATGTTCACCCTCATCATTCTTTTCCAATCATTCAGGGATTTCTCCCTTCCACAGCTGTTCCTCTTGCAACTCCGCTCCATCCACATTCACATCCTACTTCAATTTCAGAGCTGAGTTCAGTGCCATCTCCTGCATGCAGCCTTTCCTGATCTCCCCACCCAGTTAGAAGTGGGTAAATCTCTCCCCTTTGAGAATTACTAAGTTGTTTCGTTTGTTGTTTTATGAGGAAAGAATCCGTTTTCTCCACCTACTAGAGTTACTTGTTTTTGTGCAGCCAGACAACATCTACCTACTCTGCTCTCAGTTCCTAACAAATCCAACTTTGTTTAGGGGTGCAATGTTGAAAGCTAAAGCACCACTTTGTCTAGACTCCTTTGTAGTTAAGATGGGGCATGTGACATTGTTTTAGTGGAAGTGAGCTGGGGATTCCTGGGGAAGTTTTCCTTTCCTGATACTCTCATTTCCTTCTTCCTTGTCACTTCCTTCTCCTTCTTCCCTGAAATATGGGTATGATACTAGAGGTCGAGCAGCCATTTGGCAGCCATGAGGTAAGCACAAGGATGAATGCCACTCATGAAGGACATTCTTGCAAAAAGAACAATTTGGGGAGCATGGTCCCTGAGGGCCTTGTGGAACTGCTGCACTAGCTCCTCACAGCCTATCTCTGTCCATCTCCTTACATGAGAAAGACAAACTCTCATTTGGTCAGGTCACTTTTGTTGGGAAACTAACAAAGTGTCTTAGAAGAGAATCTACCTGAGACTCAGCTCTTTAAGGCAAGGCCCTACATCAAACAGACCTTTGTGACCTCAGAAGAGCTTAGAAAATGATAAGCTTTGATAGTCACTGATAAAATGTTCAAATGTCAGTCTCACTTTTTATGAAACAATCCTCACCTCCCCCCACTTTTGTGGCAAAGCATTGATTTAAGAGCAAGAGCCCAGGATTTGGACACCAATTATGTAAGCTATGTCACTGATTCACTGGAGGACCATAGACGAATCCATTCCCTCTCTGGGCCATAAGTCCCTCATTTCTGCATTAATTCCTGGAAAAGGCAGGATGAGGGGATGTGTCCCCAGTCTATAAGACTTTGGGGCAGACACTGCTGGCTTCTGACTCAACAGGTACTCCAGCACCATTGTCCCTGTTGCCTCCACTATAGAGACTGAAGATAATAAATATTAAAGTTCCCATGTTCCCTTACATGTATATCCTGGTAGTCAGGTGACACGGATCTGGTCAAAGAAAAAACCTTCCCAATCATACTGATATTTTATTGTTCAGAAAGGTCATTTAAACCTAGAAGGGAAAAAGAAAGCAAAACCCTAAAACTGAACACAAACAAGATCTAGTAAACAAATGAAAACAATGATAACAGAACAATTCTGGAAGAATATCTATTTCAAGTAACCTTTGAACATAGGCCTCTGGCTGTAGGGTTTTAAGGGAGACAAAGAAAGCTATCAGTATTGGTATTGTAATTTTGAAACCACTTATGTTTTAAAGATTTTTATAGTAATGAAAAAGAAAAATAATATAAAATACAATAATTTAAGAGAAGAAAGTAAAGTTTAAATTTAATTAGCAATATTGGTACAAACTCTTGGTTTTAAAAAACACATTCTAGGGGCGCCTTGGTGGCTCAGTGGGTTAAAGCCTCTGCCTTCGGCTCAGGTCATGATCTCAGGGTCCTGGGATTGTGTCCTTCATTGGGCTCTCTGCTCAGCAGGGAGCCTGCTTCCCACCCCTGCCCTCCACTTGCCTCTCTGCCTGCTTGTGATCTCTGTCAAATAAATAAATAAATAAATAAATTAATTAATTAATTAATAAATTAAAAAAAAAAAGAAAAAAAAAAAAAACAAATTCTAGTTCCATATTCTGTTCATTGAAATAGCCTAGAAGCAATGACACATCCATAGTGGTAAACATCCCTAGCACCTATATCTTGGTTTCTAAATAATATCCATAATAATAACCTGCATAAACCAACTTTTTTAAAAAGCTGATTATTAAGTTTTTAAGAATACTGCAAGCCAGTTGTCAAACACAGCCATTATTATAATTTAAATTATATAAACTCACAAATTATATTAAAAACAAAGGCAGTAATTACTTGAAACTACTGCCTAATTTTTCTAGCACATCTCACTGTTATCTGTGTTCTTGAGGTTATTTACATCTATTGTATTTGTATGATGGAAATACTACATAATGGTGTGTTATTGGATCTCTTCCTAACTTCATATCATGAGTTGGTAGCCTGAAACTGTCTATGGTCAGAGTGTCTACACAGTGGAAGTTGGCAATGCTACAATTCAGGGCTTCTTTTTCCCTTTGGAGATCTGGTTATCAAATATTTACTAGCATACCATTGCTAGTATTTCCCACTCAAAGGAAACCATTCATCTTGCAACAGCCTTCCATAAATCAAACAGCTCTGTTAGTCATTCGAGAGCTATTCACTGCTATCACCCTAGTGGCAATAGGATCTGGCAGCTCCTCAGGTGGTAAAAAAAAGGGTGGGGGGGAGACCACCTGCTCGTGAATACGTTGAGTACCTCCTCATAGTCCCTTGGTAGCATGTTCCTCTATAAACCATTTCCATTTTATTACTGAACTCCTCTGGGCATGGCCTTCCTAATTAGCATGTTTATCCAACATTACCGAAGATAATCATGAGTGTTTTAGGTTTCAGGATTATTTTACTTCCTTTAGTCTTATGGGCAGGTTCAATCAAAGTCCAATGAGCAGCTCGTTGTCTCTCAAATGGAAATTTTCTGATTAAAAAAAAAAAACAACCAGGAGTGGCCACTGGGTGGTGCTCACTGGCTTTTGTCTGCATAAGGACTCCAAGACTTCATTCTAGTAATTTTATGGTTTGGGGTTAGCCATATCCCCAAATGTTGAATATGTGTCATCCAAAATCCAAATAAACCAATCAAACACTAGGCTTCTGACATGGCTTTTTCATCAGATATCTTATATTTTTCAAATTAATAACCTGTGTGAGCTTGGACAAGTTTATTGGTTCCCATTTAGCATGTCCTATCAAAGTGGTTGAAGGGAGGATTTACATGCCTCCTGTTTCATAATACATGTCCTGCTTTAGACACAGTATCTACTTATATTTAGAAAAAGGAGGAGACACAATGGCTTTACATAAAATCTGTTCAAGTATTCCATTTTTCATCTAAACCCTCATTTTAATCCCCTCAATCCTTGTGTTCTCGTATCTTCCCAATCTAACTATAATTCTCACTAGGACTCACAATGCATGGGCTTCCTGGTTTAAAGAGTCCCAGAAATTCTTCTCCAGACCATTTTACCACTAATGTGCCTATGGCTTTGAGTCTCCAGCTGGGCATGGAGCCAAGGGACCCCGGCCTTTTTACCAATCTTTATCTTGATTAGATAATGGAATCATCACCTCAGGCAATTTGAAGTTAGGGTCCCATTGTCACATTTGCCTTCTGGCTTTTGAAATTCCTCTGACCTAGGGTAACTATAGAATGACTTGACTAAGATCCTTCAAAGTTGAGAGACCATCTGGGGTTCCCCCCGGACCCCATCCACCCAAACTCCCAAGAGCACTGCACTAAGATCTTTGTTTTGACCCCATCAATGTCCACTCTATTTCTTAGTAAGTGATAAAGATTTCCCTCTCCACTGGGATGAGTTCCTTTGACACTTCCCTTCATCTTTCCTTTTTTTTTTAAGGTTTTATTTATTTATTTAAGAGAGAGATTGCATGACTGGGGGGAGGAATAGAGGGGAAGGGACAAGCTGAGCATGGAGCCCAACACGGGGCTTGATCCCACAACCCTGAGATCATACCTGAGCCAAAATCAAGACCCGGATGCATAACTGACTGAGCCACCCAGGGACCCCTCCCCTTCATCTTTCTTCATTCTCCTGTGAATCACTCTAATTTTCTTTGCTACCTGTTGTTTCAACATGGCTTTTCTCTTTAATAGCAGCCGTGGGGCTAGCAGCCATAGCTCAGACTGGACAGAGCTTAAGCTTGGCCCAGTGTTAGGATCCACCCCAGCCCTTTTCTTTACTTTCATTTTCGCTATTACAGATAAAAATAACCAAAAGATTGTATAGTTAGCTTGTTTCTTGAGATTTTGAATTTCTTTATGCATCCAGTAAGTCAACTCTTCCAGACAGAGTTGGATCCATATAATTTTTTTAAAAAACTGGTAACATTAACCTCCTGTAACTATTTGCAGAACAGTTGCATTTTCGTGCCCACAAGTGACTTTGGGGACATGAAAGTTGAATCCTCTCCTGACTTCACATCCTTGGGCTTGCGTTGCCCAACACTTACGTTTCACTGAGCCAAGTTCTCACAAATCAGATTTCTGATGTCAGCTGCGAAGTTGGTGACTAGTCTAAAAAGATAACCTCACTGGTGACATCAACTGCAGATTTCAAATGTCTCTAAAACCACCCTCACTTCTAACACCAACTGCAAGTTTTAAGGTCCTTGAGACTACTCTTTGGTTTGATAATTCACCAGAAATACTCAGAGAATTCCTGAAAGCTGTTACACTCATGGTTATTGTTTGTTGCAGCTAAAGGGTTCAGATTAAAATCTGCCCAAGGAAGAATCACATAGGTTGAGTCCAGGAAAGTTCCAACCAGAGAGTTTCCAGCTGCCCTTTCCTTGTGGAGTCATGGACAGTATAACTAACATTTCCTGGTAATGATGTGTGACTATAGGCATGGAATATGACAACCAAAGAAGCTCACCCAAGCCTGGTGCCCAGAGGTTTTGCTGGTCCTTCATCATATGGTCATGATTGACTGCCCCATTGCTGATCTTAAGTCTCCATCTCCAACTCCTTCTTCTTTTTCTCTTAAAATATTTTATTTATTTGAGAGAGAGAGAGAGCGAGCATGAGCAGCGGGAGGGGCAGAGGGAGAGGGAAAAGCAGATTCCCTGCTGAGCCAGGATCCTGACATGGGGCACGATCCCAGGACCCTAAATCATGACCTGAGCTGAAGACAGCCACCTAACTGACTGAGCCACCCAGGTGACCCTCCATCTCCAGCTCCTTGTGAAGGTGAGCTGATACCACATGATCCAAAGACCCCATTCTAAATCATATTACATGATCTGGTGTGGCTAGCCCCTGCCACTAATCACATTTTCGGACTATTCAGTGTGATGCCTCCAGGCAAACAAAAACACTCCTGTCAGGCATGACATTCTAGGGACTTTGAGACTATCTTCCAGAAGCCAAGGGCAAAGGCCAGACCTTTCTTCAGGCTAGGTTAAATACGTTAATACACAAAATGATAAATGCCAAATCCAAGGTAGCAGTTATTTCCAAGTTTGAGTGGGAAATATATTTGGGGAAACGAGACACAAGAGGCAGTGCTTTAAATTTTAAGTTGGGTAGCAGATACATGCTCTAATACTATTTTACACCTTTCTATTTGTCTGAAATATTTCATGTAAATGAAAATGTGATCATTGTCATTTATACAAAAGCTTTATATATGTGTATTACATGTAAATATATATGCTCATATATAAGTTATATGTTCATATGTAATACATAAATACATAAACATAAATACAAACAGAGATCTGAAAAGATACATAATATGCTGGTACCAGTACTTGCCTATGGGTAGAGCAGTGATTAGAGAAAAAATGAAGTAGGATTGTCAGTTCTATTTCATACACTTTGGCATTGTTTGCCACAGAAGTTTGCATTCATGTATTACAACCAATTCTTTTCATAAAGATGACTTAGTAAATGAAAACAAAGACAGGATTGCATAATTAGGACATAATGAAATTTCAAAATATTTTAAACTAATATTTATTTAGCTACTAATATCCTGCAACTTCCCACGTACATCATCCCATTTATTCCTCCCAGCAACCTGAGAGACTGAATATACAGACAATGGCCATACCGTATGTGACACTTGAGCCTCAACTATGTGGCGCATATGACCCTGAGCCTCACTTTGCAGTCACAAGTCCAGGAAGTCCACAAATCACAGTCTCTGCAGCAACTGGCCCAGAACACTCAGAACTTTGTCAATGAGTACCAAGCTCCTTATTTTTTGCCCCTGCTTCCAGCTGAGAACCAATCAAAAAAAAGTCAAATCTGCTCCCAATCCAATCACATAAGGTGCCCCCACTTCTAACTGGCTAAACTTCAGCTTCGCCATGATCACAATGTCTAATCTGACCCTATCTGAAACTTTTTTTTCCCATGATGCTGCCTGCCTTTGAGTCACTGGCCAAATGCAAGGGCTGGTGGGCTGACTCTCTTGTTACGGCAAGCTCTGAGTAAGTAATTTGTTTGTTCTCATTTGGGTAGTCTTCATTTATTTTCCAGAAACTCTGAGGAATTAAGTCTTAGGGAGGAAACTGAAGGTTGGAGAAATAAGTGATTTTCTCAATGCACTGAGCAAGTGTAGTTGGAGACAGATTTAAAACTCAAGCTCCTCTTTCTCCATACCAACTGGCTTTCTTTCTTTCTCTCTCTCTCTCTCTTTCTTTTTTTCTTTTTAAGATTTTATTTATTCATTAGAGAGAGAGCGCGCAGAAGCAGAGCAGGGGGGCAGAAGGCGAGAGAAGGAGACTCCCCACTGAGCAGGGAGTCCCAGGACCCTGAGATCATGACCTGAGCCGAAGGCAGATGCCCAACCAACCGAGCCACCCAGGCACTGCCACACACCAGCTTTCACGAGAGCAGAAAATGTGTAAACTACCTACATTCTTTGGCCAACAGGCAACAGAGTAAGGGTAGCAAGTAAAATTAAAGTTTAAGCATCCTCACTCTCATCTCAGAAGGAAAAAAAATCAATCACCTCAAACTTAGGAAACACATCTCTAAATCAAATGAAATTGCACCTAGGAAGAAATCAAGAATCAAAACCTGAGAGACTTTTTGACTACTCTCTTTTCTCTCATATTCCATAGCCATGTCAGAAAATCCTGTTGGAACTGCTTTTATTTTTTATTTTATTTTTTAAAAGATATTTTTTATTTATTTGTCAGAGAGAGAGAGAGAGAGAGCATGAGCAGGGGGAGCGGCAGGCAGAGGGAGAAGCAGGATCCCCACTGAACAAGGAGCCTGATGCGGGACCTGATCCTAGGACCCCAGGATCATGACCGGAGCCAAAGGCAGACGTTTCATCGACTGAGCCACCCAGGCGTCCTGGCACTGTTTTAAATATATATTCAAAATCTCATCATTTCAAATCAGCCCACTGTGACCACCCTGGGTCAAGCTACCATCCTCTCTCACCCTGTAGCAGGTTGCTACAGTAACCTGCTCACTAGCCTTGCTGCTCTACCTTTAGTCCCTGTCCATTCTACTCCCCACAGTGGCAGCTGGAGGGAACCTACCAACATTTCAGCAAGCTCCTGACCCTTCTCTGCTCAAAACTCTCCAGTGGCTCTCATCTCACAGAAAAAGTCAAAGTTCTGCACGTAGTAGCCCTCTCCTTTTGCTTCTCTGACCTCACTACCTGCCACTCTACGGAGGCTCTCTACTTCCAAACACAGTCTGCTCCCACTAATGAATTTCAAGAAGCCCGTTCCCTAGTGATGGCACGCTCCCTCATTCCCTCCAGCAACCAACATTTTGAGCACCTCCTTTATGCCAGGCATGGGGATAAGGCGGTAACCAAGAGTGAGACAGCGCCTGTCTCACTCTAGTATGGAAGGCAGACAGTAAACAAGTTTGCAGTCAAGCTAATTTGATAGCTATTAAGTACTATGCAAGAAAAATAATGCAGGATAGTAGGATAGAGGGTTATGGCATGGGGGACAGTGGGGAGACAGTTTAGATAGGGTGGTCAGAAAAGACCTCTTTAAGGAAGTGACATCTGAGCAGAAAGCTAGATGGAGGAAAGCCACACCTGCTCCCTTTTTGCACTGCCCACCCCCCACCCTTCTCCGATTTAAAACCCCATTTTGCACGTGGGAACCCTGTCTGGGTTCTGGCCCAGGCTCTGCTAGTAAATCACTGAATAACCTTGGTCAAATATTTTCTGCTGCTTTTCCGTCGGTTTCCTCCTCTGTAACACCCATGGGTTTTATGATTTGAGATGGAGTGTTCCATCCAACTCTAAAATGCAAATTCCTTGGTGCTCTTTTCTGCCGGGCTTTACACGCAGGATGACTCCTCAGGCACCCCTGCTGCTTTTCTCCCCCTTACCCTTCCCTGGGCCCATCATTTCTCCTCTCCAGGTTACCTTCGGCTCTTGTTCCAAGGGCTCCGGGCTGGACCGGCCTCAGCACACTTTCTTGCGACTGCGCGTTTCCTTGGCGGAGTCCCAGCGGCCCAGAGGGCTTTCCCGACTTGCTGAGGGAAGCTCTCCCTTTTGGACGACCGACCTACTTAGGCTGACTGGAAAGCTGATTTTCTAGAAAATACCGAAGACTAACAGTGAAGCCGATTAACTGGCTTTCACTTGGGATAACCGCGGGACCAACGACTGAGGGCCTTACCGGGGGGTTAACTTGTTAAGGGACTGGCTCAGAGGGAGCCGTGAACTAACAGGGCGGGCTACGGAGCGGGCGGATTATCGGATTAACTCATTCACTAGTCTGCAACTGGATGACCTGTGGACTCCTAAGGGCACTAATGTGATCATTACCAACCAACCGCTTGGTGGCCCCCGGGCGGCCCTTGAGGCTGACCAGGTGACCCACCAGGTGGCAGGCGGAAGGCAGTCAGGCCCCATGAACGGACGGACGGACTGAAGAGCAGGCGGCTGCTCTCAGGGGGCCGCCGAGTCTGACTGACCAACCCCCCCAGACTCCAGGCGCCGCCCTGGAGCCTGAAGGTGTCGCCCCCCCCCACCCCCCACGAACCTGACTCCCGAACCAGGCACCCACCGCCTGACTGAGAAGCCCCGCTTTTCTGGAAGCCCAGTCCGGGCAGGCCCAACGCAAATCTCGCACTCAACGGTTGCCAGAAAAGCCAAGACAGGCTCGCGACGCCAGGAGACTTTCTTCTGCAGCGCGGGGAAGGCTGTGGAGCCGCTGGAGTCTCTCTTGGTTCTGTCCTCCCGCCTCGGATGGGTGTGTCTAGCCTACAGCCAATCAGCAGTTGATGGGACTATTCTACAGCCAATCAGCGACTGGACAGGCCTACCCTGAAGGCAATCAGCGACCACACACCTATTCCGCAGCCAATCAGAGGCTGCACGTGCCCTTACGCTGCAGCCAATCAATGAAGCCGCTGTAGCCCGCAAGCAGGACTTGAACCAATCAGGCAGTGCTGTGGGAATGTGGATGCCGGCTTTCTTTTTAGAGAAGCTTTTCTTGATGTTGCTAATGAAAACCACTCTACTACCTTCCTCACTCAGGAAGTTCCTGAGTTCCTCAGAACTCCATTTAATGAGTTCTGCTCATTAAACATGTTCTTAACCACTGAATATTCCCCTCCCGCTGAACATTTTCAAAAACACTTATTGCTACTAAGTTACGGTTTTGCTTACGGTCTGACTCCTTCACTAGAAGGTAAGCTCACTGTGAGCAAAGTTTTGTTTTGTCTTTTTTCACTGTGGTTTCTTGCATGCTTGGAATATTGAAGATACTTAATATTCATCGATATGTTTTCATTTAATCTTGGACAAGCTGAGGGGACAGGAACTCAAAGTTTCATGTTAGCAGTATCAGATTCATCTTACTGAAATATAGCTCTGACCATGTCTCCCTTGTACATGTTCTATCTCCCCTACCAAACTGTAAGCTCCTTTGGGGCAGAATCTGTGTTGGAGACATCTTTGTATCTCCCTCAGTACCTATCAATAAATATTTCTTTTCTTTCTTTTTTTTATTTTTTATTTTATTTTTTTAAAGATTTTATTTATTTATTTGACAGACAGAGATTACAAGTAGGCAGAGAGGCAGGCACAGAGAGAGAGAGAGGAGGAAGCAGACTCCCTGCTTGAGCAGAGAGCCCGATGTAGGGCTCGATCCCAGAACCCTGGGATCGTGACCTGAGCCGAAGGCAGAGGCTTTAACACACTGAGCCACCCAGGCACCCTCTTTCTTTCTTTCTTTTTTTAAGATTTTATTTATTTATTTATTTATTTTTAAAGATTTTATTTTTATTTATTTATTTGACAGAGAGAGATCACAAGTAGGCAGACAGGCAGGCAGAGAGAGAGGAGGGAAGGAGGCTCCCTGCTGAGCAGAGAGCCCAATGCAGGGCTCCATCCCAGGACCCTGAGATCATGACCTGAGCCGAAAGCAGAGGCTTAACCCACTGAGCCACCCAGGTGCCCCAATAAATATTTCTTAAATGGACAACAGCAATAAAAAAATTTCATGTTAGGCATGTGTTTAGTTGGTGAGATACTGCCAAAGAATTTTCTAAGTGGAAGAACCAATTTACACTTAACGCCAGCAACCTGTGAGTTAGAAGTGCTCCACATCCTTGTCAATAGCTGGTAATAGCTAATCTTTAATTTTAGCCATTCTGGTGTTTTTGTAGTGATACTTTATTGTAGTTTTAATTACACATCCCTGAGGGGTAATGTTATTTTTATGTTTTTTAACTGAAGTTCAACAAACATACAATGAGGTATTATTTTTAGGAGTACAATATAGCTGTTCAACAATTCTATATGTACTCTTATAGAGTACATATCTTACACACTCTTATAGAGTACATATAGAATTGTATATGTGCAATTCAAATAAATTGCCTAACTTCATGTATTAAGGAACTAGACGAAGAAGAATAAACGAAACCCAATGTTAGCAGAAGGATTGAAATAAAAAGATTAAAATGGAGATGATTGAAAGAGAATGGAGCAACAATACTCCATTACTCATCACCTTAACTGTATAGTTTAATTCCCATTCTTTACTTCACTCATCTCCCCACCACCTCTCCTCTTGCAACCACCAGTTTGTTCTCCATATTTAAGAGAGTATTTTTTGTCTTTGTTTGTTCGTTTGTTTTATTTCTTAAATTCCAGATTCAGATATCTGATTTGCAAATGTTTTCTCTCATTCTGTGGGTCGTCTTTTCACAATGTTAAAAGTGTCATTAGAAGCACAAAAATGTTCAATTCTGATGAAGTTCAATTTTTTAAATTAACATATAATGTATTATTAGCCTCAGGGGTACAGGTCTGTGAATCACCAGGTTTACACATTTCACAGCACTCACCATAGCACATACCCTCCCCAATGTCCATAACACAACCACCCTCTCCCTCCCCCTCCCCCCCCAGCAACCCTCAGTTTGTTTTGTGACATTAAGGTCTCTTATGGTTTGTCTCCCTCCCGATCCCATCTTGTTTCATTTATTCTTTTCCTACCCCCCAAACTCCCCATGTTGTTTCTCGACTTCCTTATATCGGGAGATCATATGATAGTTGTTGAAGTTCAATTTTTATCTGATTTCGGCATCAGGATAAACTTGGTCTCATTGAATGAGTTACAAAATATTCCTTTCTCTTTGATCTTTTTGGAAGAATGTGAGAAGGGGTGGTATTAATTCTCCTTTATTATTTTTTCTAAGGATTTTATTTTTAAGTAATCTCTACAGCCAATATGGGGTTTGAACTTAGAACTCCAAGATCAAGAGTCACAGACTCTACCAACTGAGTCAGCCAGGCATCCCCAATTCTTCTTTAAATGTTTGATAGAATTCATCCATGAAACCATCTGATCCTGAGCTTTTCTTTGTTGGGAGGTTTTTGTTTTTTTTTTAAGATTTTATTTATTTATTTGACAGAGAGAAATCACAAGTAGGCAGAGAGAGAAGGGGAAGCAGGCTCGCTGCTGAGCAGAGAGCCCGATGCGGGGCTCGATCCCAGGACCCTGGGATCATGACCTGAGCCGAAGGCAGAGGCTTTAACCCACTGAGCCACCCAGGCACCCCTGTTGGGAGGTTTTTGATTACTGATTCAATCTTACTAATTATAGATCTATCAGATTTTCTATTTGTTCATGATTGAGTCTTGCTAGATTATGTGTTTCTAGGAATGTTTTCATTTGTCCAGGTTACCCAGTTTGTTGGTGTACAATTGTTCACAGTATGCTTTTATAATCTTTTTTTATTTTGGTAGAATGAGTAATAATGTCCTCACTTTTATTCCTCATTTTGTAATTTGAGTCTTTTACTTTCTTAGTTGATCTAGGTGAAAGTAGGTCAATTTTGCTGATCTTTTTCAAAGAACCAATTTCTGGTCTTGTTGATTATCTCTTTGTTGCTCCATTCTCTTTCAATCATCTCCATTTTAATCTTTTTATTTCAATCCTTCTGCTAACATTGGGTTTCATTTATTCTTCTTCATCTAGTTCCTTAATACATGAAGTTAGGCAATTTATTTGAAATCTTTCTTCCTTTTTAAGGTAAGTATTTATAGCTTTCCACTTCTCCCTGAGCACTGCTTTCACTGCATCCCATGAATTTTGGTATTCTGTGTTTTAGCTTTCATTTGCCTGAGTTATTTTCTCGTTTTCCTTGCGATTTCCTCTTTGACCCCCTGGTTGTTTAGGAGTGTGTTTTTTTATTTCCACATATTTGTGAGTTTTCCAGTTTTCCAGCTTGTCATCAATTTCTAGTTTCATTCCACTGTGACCAGAAAAGATGCCCTGAATCATTTCCATCTTTTCAGATTTATTCAAACTTGTTCTGTGGCAAGAGGAATCCTCCTTCTCCTATTGCAATAATCCTCCTTTTCTTGTTGCAATAATACTTTTGAACAAAGTTTCTATCTAAATCCATTCATTTTTTTATGTGGCAGACTGGAGGATGAAGCCCAGCTTCCTCAGCCTGGCTACAGGGGGCCCTTGGAGATCAGATGCCAGCCAGAGTTTCAGGGGGAAAATTAACCTTGTCTCCTTCACCTCAGGTTCCACCTATTGCAAACTGACTGTCGTTGCCCCAGAAGCTGCCAGGTCAGCTCCCACTTCCCTGCTTTGTATCTGATGTTATCACTACCTGGGCTGCTTTTCCTCTCCTAGGCTTGGCCAACTCCTGCTTGCCCCTCAGGATGGAGCTTGAAAAGAGTTTCCCCTCAAAATCCTTTTCTAACCCTCTTCCCACCTCTGAGGCAGAGGTCAGAGCTTTCACCCTTGTGTCCTCAGACCATGGGCTCAACTTATCTGTTTAGTAACCTATTCCCATCTTTATAGAGACCTCATCATGCTATGTTTTAATAGGTTGTGTATTTCTGTCCCTTCCCTGAACCCCATGGATGAACTTGAGCTCTTCTGAGGCCAAAACTGTTATCTTCTTCGCCTTGGTGTTCCCCAAATAGGCATGCAGTAAATGTTTGGAGAATGAAGAAATGGGAAGAAAAGTAGGGATTTCTCAAGGTGTCCCTCACGAATGTTATGCAAAGTAACGGAACTGTACTCAATTGTTTTGTAACTGGCCAGGAGTGAAGTGGTGTTTGTGGTGACCTTGAAAAGAAGAACTAGAGAAAGTTGGTCATTCTGTTGAAGTATCTCTATGAGTGCAGAGAAGGGTGGCCCTAACCCAGTGCTTCTCAAGCAGTGACCTTTGTGCACCAACCTCCCCCCACTCCATTTACACTTGGCAATGTCTGGAGACATTTTTGGTAGTCAAAGATGAGTAGGGGAAGCTCCTGACATTCTGGGGGTAGAGGCCAAGGCAGTTGCTTAACATCCTACAATGCACAGGACAGCTCCCCACCATGAAGAATCATTCAGCCCCTAATGCCCAAATATCAATAGCACTGAGGTTGTTAAACCATGCCCTAACCCAACACATGGGAAACTGCAGGGCAGGGGGTGGGGACCAGGGAGGGAATGCAGCTTGTCTGAGGAGGTGGATTTGAGGGGAATCTGAAAGGATAAGTATGTGTCATAAAGATGGAGAAACTCCTTTCTCCATCTATTGCAGTGAGATGGAACCATGTGAAGGAAGCATGGAGAGCACAACAGGGCATGGATGTTCCGGGAGTGACAAGGATGTGGCTGAGGTGTATGAGGGATGGTGGTTGAGAGAAAGGGGTGAGGTAGGTGACAGTGAGATTGTGAAAATTCCTGTGTAGCTCTCATTGGAGTTGACCCCTCATCTGGAGGGAGAGGGGCAGTCACAGAAGGATGTTTAGCAGGGGAGGGATAGATGGCCTAACGGGGAGCCCAGAGGCTGAGGAGGTAGCTGTTTTAATGGTCCTGGGGAGAAAGGTCAAGAAGACCAGATCCAGGGGTGCAGGGAGGGGGGCAGATCAGGAACTTGGTGACTCATGGGAATGGGCGATGAGAGAGCGGGAAGTGAAAGAAAACCCTGGATGTGAAGACTTGAAATAGGTCTTACACTTCTCCTTCCTCTCTTGCACATTAATGGCCTTTCCCTGGGACCACAGGGTTAGTCGTCCACTTGATCAGGGTGTGGTGGACAACTTGATATCACGTGTCTATAGGTTGAAGCCTAGAGGTCATTTGACCAGTCGAAGGATTACCTGGGCAGCGTTTGGCCCTTGGCTGAGTGCACTTTGACCAGTCTCCAAGAGTTGCTCACCACACACTGGGGACAGAGCCTCCCTGTGTGCATTAATTCAGTGCATTCTCAAAACCACCGAATGAGCTAGGAAATGTTGTTATCTTCATTGGAGGGAGGAGCAAGTGGAAGCAGCAACAGGTCAAGTGGTGAAGTGGGCATTTGAATGACTTTGAAGAACTTAAATTATTTTTCTTAATTAAGGGGAAATTCATGTAACATAAACTAGACGATTTTTTTCATAAACTAGATGATTTTATTTATTTATTTAAAACTAGATGATTTTTAAAAAGATTTTATTTATTTATTTGACAGACAAATCACAAGTAAGCAGAGAGTCAGGCAGAGAGAGAGAAGGGAGGAAGCAGGCTCCCTGGTGAGCAGAGAGTCCAATGCGGGGCTCGATCCCAGGACCCTGAGATCATGACCTGAGCCAAAGGCAGAGGCTTTAACCCACTGAGCCACCCAGGCTCCCCTAAAACTAGATGATTTTAAAGTGAATGATTTAGTGGAATTTCGTACATCCACCATGTTGTGCAACCACCACTTCTATCTGATTCCAGAACGTTTTCATCACTCCAAAGAGAAACCCACACCCACTAAACGTTCACCCTTTCCGCAGTCCATGGCAGCCTGTAATCAGCTTTCCATCTCTATGAATTTACTTATTTTACATATTTCATATAAATGGAATAATGAAATAAGTAGCCTTTGTTTCTGGAGTACCCCACTTAGCACATTTTTGAGGTTCATGCACATCATATGGATCAGGGCTTCAGCTTTTTTTTATGGCTGAATAATACTCTGTTTTAGGGACAGACCACATTTTGTTTTTGCATTCATCCGTTGATGGGCATTGGGTTGTTTCCACATTTTGGCTACTATGAAGGGGCTTAAACATTTAACCAGTGTCCACTACCAACGTCACAAAAACCACTTAGATGGTCTCTAGACCCTGTGATTAAAGATTAAAGCTATGGTGGAGAGATTAATGTGATCTCCTTCCAGAGGAGGGAGCGCCAGAGTCTTCCCCAGGATAGCAGGAAGGGGTGGAAGAAGGCTTAATGCTGCAAGTTGGGCCTTGAGTACTATTGGACCAGGTAGTTGCTCCTTGGGGCACTTTATACCATGGCCAAGGGGACCTTATGGCTTCCAGTGGGGGAGGAAAAGATGCAGACTCACGAGATTCAGGAAGTGATTCAGACAGTGACCTCTTAGAGGAACAGCCATAGAGGAGTGTAAATTGGAGTCTACGAGATTGGAGAAGAGGAAGAAACCTGTTTCACAAGATCCCAGTGAGTGTCAGACCAGAAATTGTGCCCTGGTGGGACGTAGTAGTTAATGGAGACATGGGAGCATGATGCCCTCCTTGCTAAGATGGTGGGTATCAGACAGCATGTCTTGTGGAACATTCCCACATCCTGGATGGAGAACCTAGGGGAGAACCAGACATGAGGAAAGACATGGAGCCAGTCTGGGATGCATTGAAAGTGAGGAGCCTGTGGTCCTTCAGTGAGACATGTCCAAGAAGACATACAGGTTTAGAGTCCAGGAGAGAGCTCTGGGGTAGAAATACAAGCTGGAGGCCCCAGCAGAGCCCAGGCATGTTGTCCCGTTGCACCTGAGTGGTAGGCATTTCAGAGGTTTCCTGAGCCCACTTCATGTGTTGTGTCCAAGGCTGAGTTCCAAAAGCACAGGGCCAGACATAGTCCCTGCCCTGGGGGAGCTTAGAGTTGGTGGAAATCAGAGTTAGATAATTACAAGGATAATTTTTAAAAATATTTTAAAAATTTTATTTATTTATTTGAGAGAGATAGTACATGTGTGAGTTGAGGTGGGCAGAGGGAGAGAGAAAGAAAGAGAAGCAGACTCCCCTGAGCCTGGTACTGGGTTTGGTCCAGACCCTGAGTTCATGACCTGAGTGGAAACTCCAGGTGCCCCATCTTTTAAAAAAATCTTAATGTAAATTCTGTTAAAGAGTACTATTCAAACAGAAAAGGGCACAAACCACAAATGTTTTACTCACAAATGTTTTACTCAAAAATGTTTCAGAGAGTGACCACATCTGAGCAGTTAGGACCCAGATCAAGATGACCCTGCAATTGCACTGCTGGGTATTTACCCCAAAGATACAGATGTAGTGAAAAGAAGGGCCATCTGTACCCCAATGTTTATAGCAGCAATGGCCACGGTCGCCAAACTGTGGAAAGAACCAAGATGCCCTTCAACGGACGAATGGATAAGGAAGATGTGGTCCATATACACTATGGAGTATTATGCCTCCATCAGGATGGGACTGGAAGAGATTATGCTGAGTGAAATAAGTCAAGCAGAGAGAGTCAATTATCATATGGTTTCACTTATTTGTGGAGCTTAACAAATAGCATGGAGGACAAGGGGAGTTAGAGAGGAGAAGGGAGTTGGGGGAAATTGGAAGGGGAGGTGAACCATGACAGACTATGGACTCTGAAAAACAATCTGAGGGGTTTGAAGTGGCGGGAGGTGGGAGGTTGGGGGAACCAGGTGGTGTGTATTAGAGAGGGCACGGATTGCATGGAGCACTGGGTGTGGTGCAAAAACAATGAATACTGTTATGCTGAAAATAAATAAATTAATTTTAAAAAAATACAAATCTTTACTGGAAGACCCCAGGAGTGCCCCACTGGATCCTTCTTGTCACTACCCCCCAATGGCAACAAGTATCTGCACTTCCAATGGCAAAGATTAGTTTTTTCTGTTTCTTTTTTAAAAATAATTTTTATTAACATATAATGTATTATTTGCCCCAGGGGTACAGGTCTGTGAATCGTCAGGCTTACACACTTCACAGCACTCAGCATAGCACATACCCTCCCCAATGTCCATAACCGCACCACCCTCTCCCTACCCCCAGCAACCCTCAGTTTGTTTTGTGAGATTAAGAATCTCTTATGGTTTCTCTCCCTCTTGTTTCATTTTTTCCTTCCCTACCCCACAAACCCCTCACCCTACCTCTCAAACTCCTCATATCAGAGAGATCATATGATAATCATCTTGGTTTTGTCTGTTTCGAAACCTCACATCAAAGATGTCACATAGTGAGGACTCTTGCGTCTGGATTATTTCACATTATGTCTCTAAGCTTCTCATGCGTTGTACAGAGCTGTTATTTGCTTCTTCCATTGCATGAATACACGGCAGTCTATCTACCTGTCTTACTGTTGATGGGCATTTGGGCGGGTTCCATTTTTCATGGCAGCCACAGCTGCCATGAACGTTCTCGTACACATCCGGTGAATGCTTCTATGAACTTGTGCTGGACACACACCTTGGAGTGAAATTGCTGGCTCCATGCTCAGTGTCAGTCGAGAGTGACCAGCATTTTCCCAAGGGTCTTGTACCAGTTCTCACTCCCCTCCCCCCTGACAATGTAGGAGAGTTCCAGTTGCTCCTCATCACCAACACTGACATTTTTACACAAGGGCCACGCTAATCTTCTCAGGTTCTTTCCAATTTTAGGATAGGGGCTGCTGAAGCATACTTGATATTCTCTAAGGAAAAAATGTCATTGTGGCAATGTAGACACAACTTAAATTCTGCTGTTTCAAGTGCACGTTTAGTGGCATGAACTGCATTTACATTGTGCAATTGTCGCTATCATCCGTCCCTAGAATGGGTAAAATTCTATACCCATTAACCATTAACTGTCCATCCACATCCCCAACCCCGTTTTAAATAACGGGTTTTTTTTAAAGTACTCTTTTTTATTGTAGTTTAAAAAAACATAAATTTTATCATCTTAAATATTTTTAAGTGTGTGGTACAGTAGCGTTAACTACATGTACATCATTAAGCTCTAGGAAGTGTTCATCTTGCAGAACTGAAACCCTACCTATTGAAAGCCGTTTCTTGTTTTCCCTCCCTTGGGTCCCCTCTACCTTCTGTTTTTAAGAATTTGGTTACTTTAGATACTTCGTATAACTGGACTCACGCCGTGTTTGTCTTTTGGTGATGGCTTATTTCACTTGGTGTAGTGTCTTCAACACTTGATGTTCTTGATACCATTTTTACTATTTTAATCATAGTGGTGGCTGTGCAGTGACCTACCACTGGGGTCTTTACTTGCTTTTTCTTGAAAGCTACTGACATTAAACACCTTTTTATATGCCTATGGGCCCTTTGAATATCTCGCTTTTTTATTAGGTTGTGTGTCTTTTTCTTACTGATTTTTGGAAGATTCTTATATATTCTTTTTATACTGTGAATGAATCCTTCATTAGACACTTGTATTGGGAAATATCTACTCCTGCCAGAGTTACATTCAGAAATATATTTACTTTTAAAAATAATACAAAGAAAAAGAAAACAAAAGACAAAATAATACATGTTCAAAAGCTGATCTCTCCCTCCATCCTGAGGTAAACTTAACACATAAGGATATGCTTAACAATGCCAATGGTGCATTTTTTCCCCACTGAACAATGTACCTGATGATTATTATTCCCCATTTCACAGAGGAGGGAACACAGGGAGGCATAGGGAGGTGAAGTGCCTCACCTGATGTTTGAAATCAGGAATCTGTGATTTTCCGCCACTCTAAGAAGTGTCACATTCCAATTTATAAACTTTGGCTCCGAGGGCTGTCAACTCCTAAGGAATCAGTGTCTGCTATGCGTTTCTTCAGAAATGTCCTGTCCAGGCTCCAGTCAGAGCTGGTCCTACTGGAGGCAGGGATCAGGTTGGGCTCATCATTTCTGGATCTTGATCTCTGCATACTCAGTGGTCTCCTGGTTCTGAAAGTTGTGTGACTTCAGCCCGTGGAAGCTGAGGCTGGCGTAGTAGAGCTCCTGCTCCTTCTCTGAGGGGGAGGTGGCCACAGCTGGGGGCAGGTGGTCTGAGGGGCTGTCTGAGCAGCGTTTGCTCAGGTGATCCTGAGTGGAATGAAGGAAAGGCATTGGAGCTGCCCTTTGGGTCTGGAGAAGGGAAGAGGGGGCTGGGGTGCACTTACTCATTTATCCACTTCATGCCCATTTCCTGAGCATTCATCCGTCCATTCATTCATTCTCATTCATTCATTTGTATCTTTAACAAATTTTTGTCATGATGGCATTGAATCCTTACAACTCTCCCCACTCCCCTGTGGATGGTATAACTGTTATCCCCATTTTATAGATATTAAAACAGAGTAAGCAAGGTCAAGAAACTCTTCAGCACACACAATCTCTGACCTCAAACAGCCTATCAGGGAAAAGAGACAGTACCAAATTGTCACACACACACACACACACACACACGATAAAATCGTAACTTATAATCTGGTGCACAGAAGCAGCATCGACCCAGGGGCTCACACGATGCTGGGAACATGCCTATGATTATTACAGGGAGGCATGGTGACAGTCTGCCTGCCTAGGGCAGGGGGATATTCAAATTGGAGCGTGAAAGGTGAATTAGGGATCTAGCCAGTGCAAATGAGGAGGGTCAAAGGAAATCATGCGTGCAATGGCACAAAGTTACAGAAAACGAGCCCTGCCTGGGATTAAGGAGCTACTTTTGTGGGCAGGGGAAGGAAGTGGGCCAGAGAGCTCAGCAGAGGGCAGGTCACGGAACACCAGACCAAGGAAACTGGACTACATGTCCAATACGGTAGCTCCTAGCCACATGTAGTTACTGAGTACATGAAACATGGAGATTCTGAGCGGAGGTGTGCCATGAGTGTGAAACATACCCTGGATTTCAAAGAGTATGAGAAGAAGAAGGAGAGGAGGATGAGGAAGGGGAAAGGGAAGGGAAAGGGTAAGAGGAAGAGGAAGAAGGGGAAGAAGAAGAAGAAGAAGGAGAAGGAGGGGAAGGAGGAGAGGAAGGAATAATTCAGACTATCTCATTAATAATCTGTACATTGATTCTGATGATATGATGGTGAAATGATATTTTGAATATATTGGGTTAAATAATATATTACATTAAAACTGATCTCATACTTCTTTCTATTTTTTAAATGTGGCCATTAGTAAATTTTAGCCATGTACATGGTTCATATTATTTTTCTGTTGAACCATGCTGATTCAGACAGTGGGGTCACAGGGGTTTGGGGAATTTCTTGACCAAAGCTTGGGAGGTGAGGTGGAGAGGTGGCGTCGTGGAGGTAAGGCACAGAAAGTGGCGCAGGAGGGAGACAGTGAGGGCTCAGCAGGGAAGAGGCTAAACGGAAAAAGAAACTTTGCTGAAAGGGAAATGGGTGGAACTTGGCCCATTACTGGGTCTTGCTGATGGAGGGGAGGGGAGAAGAAAAGGGGGCTCTCGGGTCTCTGAGTTGAGCCCAGCCAGAAATCCCGAGGGAGGACCAAATTTGGAGGGTCCATGATGGACTCATCTTTTAGCATGCTGAGTGAGCCACCCCATGGTCCATCCCAGGAGAGGTGTCCAGGTGGGACACCAGAGAAAGAGATGCCCCAGCCACTTACCTGGGAGACCATATTTGAGGCTGGATGGACGCCATCCCTGCACGCTGCTTTCCTGGTTGACTTCTGCTTGTAGGTCTTCACTCTGAGGGGAGAGATCAAAGCCTTTCAGCCTGGCTGCTCACAGCTGGAAGCCTGGAAGGATGAGTGACTGAGGCAGGGCATGAAGGCTGCCATCTGGCTACAGAGACTAGGAGGAGAATGCATATTCTCTTCTCCCTGACAGTGGGAACCCCGTGTGGGGAACAGACCACTCCCTGCCTCTATGTCAGGAGGCTAGATTCCTGATGCCACTTGGACAAATTGTGTCCCCTCTGGCTGCATCACTTCCCCAGGTTTCTTCGGCTCTAGGCTTCGAGTTTGGGAGATTCTTTGGGTCACCCAACCTCAGGAGGCCTTCACTCAAAGCAGAGCCCGCACTCACGTGAAGAAGATGATGAGGCAGAGACAGAGAGCAAGCAGGGTTGTGATACCAGCTCCCCAGATGGCCCCCTGAATCACACCCGTCCTGGCCCCTGGTCTCCCTGCAGATAAGAGACCTTGGGGTAAACTCCAGTCCTGCTAAGCAGGCACCTGAGCACCCAGCCTTCTGGAATCCATGACCCAGGGGTGTGCCCACAGCTACCCAGGACTGGCTCCTTTGTCCCCCACCCCTCTATGTGACCCCAGCCTCCTGTTCCCCTGGCCCTTCCCTCAAACCCTCCCCTCTTCAACCTACGGATGACTCTGACCTCTAGTGCTCCTTTGCCCAAGTCAGAGCCACTTGTCTCTTCAATGTCTTCTAGGATCCTGATTCATGCACCCCCTTCCCCGGGCATTGCCCTTCATAACTCCCTGACCTGGCAGTAGCAGGATAGCCATGCTCTGTTTTCCGTGGGCATTCCAGGCCTCACAGCTGAGTCTGAGGCTGGAGCCCAGCGGCCCGCTGAGGCTCAGGGAGCTGTTGGCCCAGGACCCCACAGAGCTGGAGGTGAGGATCCAGGAGGCGTTGCTGTGGTTCCCCTCCAGCAGCTCCTCCCCCAGCCACCAGTGCACAGAAGGGAGCAGCTGGGATTGAGCAGAGCAGTGGCAGTGCATATCCTCGCCCTCCCAGGAGCAGGAGGGACCAAACAGCTTCACGGGGGCTGTGGGAAGACAGCAGAGAGATCAGAGGAGGCACCCCTCCCCAGGGCCCAGGCATCCTTCCCAGATATGTCCCAACTCACTCTTCACAAGGAGGCTCACGGATGCTTCCAGGGAGCCCAACAGGTGCTGAGCTTGGCAGACGTATCTTCCGTGGTTCACCAGTTCCACCCGGGGAAACTCCAGGATCCCAGGATTTGAGGGTTGTGAAGGCTGCAGGGTCAGGCTATCCCGGGTCCAGCTCACCCTGGCAGGAGGGTTGCTGTCATCGATGCAGACCAGGCGCAGGGGCTGGCCCTCCTGGACTGGGAGAGACGAGCCATTGCCCAGAGCCTCAGGTCCTGGCAAGACAGAGAGAAAGCTAAGCCCTGGTCCTCACTGGGAGTATTGCCTCTCTCTCTCTCTCTCTCTCTGTCTCTTTTCCTCACATCATGTAAATCTGTTTCTTCTCTTCCACCACATGATTGAACCCCATGATCATGGGGTCAGCTGAAGGGGACAGGACTGAGAGAAAGCACCCATGTACAGAGGCCCATGTACATTCTGTCTTTCTCTAAGTTCGCTAAGACCTGTCTAATTTAGTTATTCTGAGAGTTCACAGTCTTGTGAGCGAGATACCCAGAATCAGGTGTCATACAGCAGTGTGATGTGTTTTGTGATGGGGGTACATTGTGCTCGGGGGAACCCTGAAGATGGGAATTCAGTGAGACTGTCAGGGCATGGAGGGCTTCCTGGAGGAGGAAAGGCTAAAGTGAAGCATGAGAGGGGCCAGGAGCTAGCATGGAAGGACATTGCTGGAGGCTGGCACAGAAAGTGTAGCCGCAGCTAAGGTGTGAAATGGCTCTGCATGCTCAGGGAAGAGCAGGCAGTCTGTAAGGCTCGAGTGAGTGTTGACATATGACATTGCTGAGGATTCAAAATAATAATAGATTGGGGAAAGACAGTAACAGTGGCTTACTGGTATATGTTTAACAACCAGCTCATTGGGGAGGAGGAGGGGAGAAAAAAAAAAGTCTTGACTTGCCAATTTCCTTGGTGTAAATACTTCCCCCTTGGCGGATTTCAAGCATCCAACTAAATGTCACTGAACTCAGAATTGGGAAAACATGGACACAATTGGCTCTTGCCAGCCAGTGAGAACCAACTCCAGTATGTCACTGAATGCAACGCCTTCCTCAAAAAACCATGTTTTTGTCTAACAAAGTCACCATATGCTACGTCAAAGGGCCATTATTAGTCTGGAAATAAATCCTTTCAAGTAACACACAGCTGATCTCCTTCATGTAAAAAGAGCTTCTTCAGATCATTAAGAAAAAGTCCGCAAAGAAATACAAACGACTCTTAAGCATAATGAAAGCTACACAACCTGTTTACAAAATGATTATTCAAGTTAAAATGACAGTGAATTCACTTAAGATATCAGCAAGGATGAAAATGTTCAGCAGGTTGAGATTATAAAAACAACGGCTTCTGTGCAGTATGATTCGGCAGTAACTGTAGAAATTGCAAACATACCTCTTGATTTGGGACTTTTCTAGGGAATTATCTTACAGATGCATGCACACATATGGAAGATGTTTATACAAGTTATTTGTTGCTGTATTATTTGCCTTAACAAAAGTCTGGAAACACCATGGCTTTCCACCAATGGGGACTCCTTAAGTAGTTCACAGTATAATATACTTCTAATTGGAAGACCATGGAGTCCTCAGTAAGAATGAAGAAGCTTTCCTACAAACTCATAGAGAAAGTAATGTACCAACGTCACTTACTTAGTTGGGACAAATGCATCATGGTGGTGTTAATACTTTTAAAGACAAGGGAGGGGCGCCTGGGTGGCTCAGTGGGTTAAAGCCTCTGCCTTCGGCTCAGGTCATGATCCCAGGGTCCTGGGATCGAGCCCCGCATCGGGCTCTCTGCTCAGCAGGGAGCCTGCTTCCTCCTCTCTCTCTGCCTGCCTCTCTGCCTACTTGTGATCTCTGTCTGTCAAATAAATAAATAAAAAATCTTAAAGACAAGGGAAGATAGACGAGGGCTTTATAGAAACTCTGTACAATGTAAACCTAAAATTACTCGACCATGAAAAGTTTATTAAAAAATAATAGCTAAGTGAGGGGCACCTGGGTGGCTTAGCCAATTAAGTGACCAAATTTTGATTTAGGCTCAGGTCTTGATTTCCGTGTCCTGGGACCAAGCCCAGCCCTGCGTGGTCGGGCTCTCGGCTCAGTGGGGAGTCTGCCTGAAGATTCTCTCTCTCCCTCTTCCTCTGCCTCTCCCGCAGCTCAAATGCACGTGTGCGTGCTCTCGCTCTCTAAAATAAATAAATAACTCTTAAAAATATAATAGCTAAGTGAAATAAGTCAGCTGGAAGAAAAACAAACACCAGGTGATTTCACACATATGTGGAATTTAAGAAACAAAACAAATGAGCAAAGGCAAAAAGAGAGAGAGAGAAAAATCAAGAAACAGACTCTTAACTATACAGAGCAAACTGATCATTTCCTGGAGAGGAGGAAGAGGGGCGAGGGGGAAATAAGGAGATTGAGAAGGGCACTTGTGATGAGCACCAGGTGAGTATGGAAGTGATGAATTACTATATTATACACTTGAAACTAATGTTGCATTATATGTTGACTAAATGGAATTTGAATGAAAACTTAAAAAATAATAGAGATGCAGAGGAGTTATATAGCATGGTGTGTACGTATGTGTGTGTTTTTTTTAATTTTTTTTTTTAATTTATTTGACAGACAGATCACAAGTAGGCAGAGAGGCAGGCAGAGAGAGAGAGGAGGAAGCAGGCTCCCTGCAGAGCAGAGAGCCCGATGCGGGACTCGATCCCAGGACCCTGAGATCATGACCTGAGCCGAAGGCAGAGTCTTAACCCACTGAGCCACCCAGGCGCCCCTATGTGTGTGTTTTTAAATGTAGATGTGTAGATTGTATTTGGAAAAATAACCAAGAGGGGAGGTACACAGGTGCCGAAGACTATTTTATTCTTACTCCATTTTGCTGGGGACTGGATCGTGTTCTCTTTAAGCTCATGTGTCTAAGCCCTACCCTCCAACATGGTGGTATTTGGAGGTATTTGGATGAGTCTTTGAGGGTGATTAGGGTTAAGTGAGATCATGAGAGTAGGGGCCTTAGAAGGTATCAGGGCTCTTTTTCTTTTTTAAAAAGATTTTATCTATTTATTTGTCAGAGAGAGAGAGAGCACAAGCAGAGGAAGCAGCAGACGGAGAGGGAGAAGCAGGCCTGTCGCTGAGTAAGGAGCCCAAATCAGGACTTGATCTCAGGACCGTGGGATCACGACCTGAGCCAAAGGCAGACACTTAACAAACTGAGCCACCCAGGTGCCCCTGGATTAGTGCTCTTGTAAGAGGAGACACCAAAGAACTCACTTTCTTTTAGTTGTGTGAGAGAAAACAGTGCCAGAAAGCAGCTGTTTACGAGAAGTGAGCTCTCATTGGGAACCAAACTGGCTGGCACCTTGACCTTGAACCTGCCTCCAGAAATGTGAGGAATAAGTGTCTGAGGCTTAAGCCCCTCTGTCTGTGGTATTTTGTTATGGCAGCCCAAGCAGACCAAGACACATTTTGTGTTTACTGTTTTAAACAATAATACTATGATGTGGAAGGGAATTGCAGGAGTAGGTGGGGTCCAGATCCTAAGGGGAATGAGGCGATATTTGGGGGGAGAACATAGCTGGGACACTGGGGACGGCCACCCCCATCAGGCACAGAGGTCATGCAGTACCCTTGAGAGCAGGGTCAGCGGTGGGGAGAAACCAGTTTGTACCCTGAGGAGCCAGTGGGCTGCTCCCCACCTCTGCTGCCCCCACACCTGAGCCTTTCTCCCACCTGAGTTCTGAAACCCCAACTCTGCTCTGAAGGATGGAGACAGATGCCATTTGCACCACAGCCCAAGATGAGAGATTGTACCCTACCTGTACCTTCTCTTCGGAACACACTGATGGTCAGGTTCTGGGGTGCATCTGAACAGATAGACACAATTGTTTTCAGGGGCAGGAAAGTCGGTGTTGGCCCTTTTCCCCCAGAAACTTCAGAAATGGGAAAGGGGTGGAATCTGGTGTTTTCTTTCCTTCCTCCCCAGGATTCGAGACCCTGCCTCCCCAACACCCCCAGCCCTCAGGGACCCTGGCACCCTGGCCTGGCACTCACAGGACACGTTGAGCTGGACAGTCCTCTCCGTGCTCACACCAGCTCCGGGGAAGGTCACTCGACAGGTGAGGTTGGTGCCATGGTCCTGGGGCCTCGGGGTGAGGGTGAGTACGGGGGAGTGGGGAGCCTTGGAGCCCCAGGAGGGGAGGGCAACTCCGATCCAGGAGAAGGTGGGGGGTGTCCCCCTCTCACAGGCCCATGGCACGCTACAGGTAATGTTCTTGGGGTGGCCAGATTCTAGGGACCCCTGGATGTGGATGTCAGGTGTCTGTGTCAGAGCTGAGGAGGAGAGAGAGAGATCCTGCAGTGGGACCCTGAGTGTGCCCCTAGAAGCAGCCTCCACCCCAGGCCAGCTGTCTCCTCCCCAGCCAGGATGGAGATCAGGGGGTCCCTTCCTGGCCCTGCCCCAGGAGCCCTCGGGATCCATGCATGGGACATGTGTCCTCTCCTGAAGCCCATTCCTTACCTGTCACAAACACGGAGAGCTGATTCTGCAGGTAATTATATCTCACAGAAGACCCTCTCTCCACCCTAAAGAAGTATGTCCCCGAGTCCCTTCTCTGTGCATCTCTGATGTCCAGGGAGCAGTCATAGGCCCGGGGGTCCCCGAGGAGGCGGAATCGGCCCTGGGTCTCCTCCTGCACTTTATGACCTAGGTTGTTTGTGGCCACTGCAGCATCGTTGTTTGAACTGGCTCCTTCCCGGAACCAGTAGCCATAAGCTGGGTCATTATTAGTGTATTGGCGGGGGTAGGAGAAGTGGCAGGGTACGGAGGTGCACAGGCCCTCCTGCACCGTCAGGAGCTCCTGCACCTGCATCTGGTATTCTGAATGCTGAGCCAGGGACCCTGTGGAGAATCGAGGGTGAGTGGCAACTCCAGCCCCATGGGCCCCCTCCCCTTGGCCCACTTACCTGCCCACAGCAGGGACAGCAGCAGCGGCAGCATCTTTGGGGTGAGAGCCATGGAGCTGCCACAGGACAGAGAGGAAGCCCCAATAGGAGGGCCAAGGCTAATGTCTGAAAAGTGACTGGCCACAGAAGAGGAAGTTGGTGCTGGGACGCAGTTGATGACAGCACGGACCTTGGAGACTAACAACTTCTACTTTCCAGATGGGGTCCCAGCCACCCCCCACCCCCCACCCCCCAGTCCCTATCTGTAGCCTCCGTTCCCACCAGGAAGGCAGGGACTACCTGGCCAATGATAGCTTCTAGAAACCCTGGATGTTCAGTCCTGCCGGATGTGGGATGCAGGAGGGTGAGCAGGGGAACCTTGAGGCATGAAAGGTGGGGCTACCTCCCCACTGTGGACGAGGGAAGTGACTGATGTGTAATTAACGAGTGAGCACGACACCCGCATCATGAACATCTCCTTTCAGGGCCGTGGAGTCAAAGTGGAGAAGGACAGACCCCATCTCTGTTCTTAAAAACTCCCCTAACACCCAAGGGGACGGAGAAACTCCAGGCTGTGGCAGCTCCTGTTGGTACAGTGTGAGCTGGCAGAAGCACAGGCAGGGGCTTGTGGGAACACCATTGCTCTGGGAAGCCAGGAGGTGAGTTCCCAGGTATGAATGGCCAGAGTGGACAGGGACCGGGACTCCCAGGTGTTCCAGGGCTTGCTGGCCGGCTCACAGCCCTCTGCTCCAGGCGCCCCAGGTGTCGCCCACATTGGACCACACCTGAGAGCTGGGCATTTGCAGCAAGATGATAGCACTGCATGACGTTGAGGGAGAATGCCCAGGCGTGCCTGGCCCTCCTCCCCTCCAAGGCTCAGTTTCCCCAGCAGTCACATGGAGGGATCGCAGTGCCCAGCTCTTATCTGTGGGAGAATATGGGACAGTGGTGGGCATTTTCCACAGACTTGGGTGTGGCCATCTTACACGTCAAATGTCTGGCCCTGCCCATTCCTCAGTGGTCCTTCATATTCCTGCTTTGGTAAGAAGGTCCTGCTGGCCAGCTGTGTCCTAGGGCTCCTTCGTCTGTGGCCTCCCACGAAGAGATCATGCGTACCAGATGCTCACTGTGCTGCCTTGGGAAGGGGTCTAATTCCTGTGCATAGCTGGAGGCCTATATTCACAGGGTGTTATGGGCTGAGTTGTGTCACCCTAGATTTCATATGTTCATTTTCAAACGTCAGTACCTCCAAATATGACTATCTTTGGACATAGGGTCTTTAAGGAGATCGTTAAAGTAAAATGAGGCCATTGGGGTGAGCTCCACTCCAGCAAGACTGGTGCCTTTATAAGAACAGGGGATTAGGAGGGGCCCCTATGTAGTTCAGTCAGTTAAATGTCCTGGAATTGAGCCCCACATCGGACTCCCTGCTCAGTGGGGAGTCTGCTTCTCCCTCGGCCTGCCGCTCCCCCTGCATGTGCTCTCTCTCTCACTCTCAGAATAAATAAATAAAATCCTAGAAGAAGAAGAAGAAGAGGAGGAGGAGGAGGAAGAGGAAGAGGAAGAGGAGGAGGATGAGGGGATTAGGACAGAGACATGCACAAACAGGAGACCACATGAGCACAAGGGGGAACCAGCCACCTACAAACCAAGGAGAGAGGCTTGCGAAGGAGCCTGTTCTGCCCACAATGTCTAGCTTCCAGAGTTCTGAGAAATGAACTTCTGTTAACTAAGCCGCGGGGTCAGTGTACTTCGTTACGTTAACCCCAATAAACCAACGCATGGGATTTTCAAGAAGGCAGATGTGTTCACACAGGTCTAGTGCTCTGTGCAGGCTAGTCTGGCCCACGCTGGACACAGTCCACACAGTGGCCAGTGGACAGTCTGTAGGATGGGGCCACTCCAAGGTTGGAAGAGAAAGGAAGGGACAGGTTTGGTAATTGGAGGAAACACCTGCTGCTCTTCTGTGCTCTGATCTCTGCCTTGCTCTTACTTAGCTGAACATACTTCCCCTTCTCTCCCCGGGTCAGCACAGTCTCCGTGGGCCTCTGCTCCAGCTGGCCCCTCTGCTGGCTGAGCCCGTCCTCCTGCACCCTGAGCACCTGTCTCCCATCTGTTGAGTGGTGGGTCCTGGGAGCTGAAGTAAGACCAACCTTGGTCTATTCATCTGTTTGGCCAGAGAACCAGGGCCCCAGTCTTCCCAGGGCAAAGCTCCCAGTGTGAGGAGCACCTTGTGTGGCTGTGGTGGACGTGATATATGAGTGTGTCTGTTGTGTTTGTGTGTCTGTGGCCTGTGTATCCGTGTAGGTGCATGTGTGTTTGTGTCTGCAGTCTCTATGAGTGTCTGTGGTGTGTGTGTATTTCTTTGGTCTGTGTACATATATGTGTGTGTTCTGGGTTTGTGGTCTGTTGTGTGCATGCCTGAGGTATGTCTGTATATATATATGTGTGTGATTTCTCTGTGTGTGTTTGGAGGTGTGTCTGTCTCTGTGTGTGTGTCTGTGTGTCTGAAGTATACGTGTGTCTGTAGGTCTGTGTCCTCTGTGTGTGCATATCTGAATTACTCGTGCATGTCTGCTTAAAGTGCCTGTGGCACGTGCGTGTGCATGTGTGTGCACACTCAAATGTCAGTTTCCCAATGACAACATCCGTGGACAACATATTGAAAACTATAATCCATTTCATATTCTCTCTGTATCTTTTTCTTTCATTTTTCTTCAAACTCCTTACCACAAATCAGCCTAAAATATAATCTGCTTAATTATTCTTTGTCTGTCTCTCCTGCTGAATCCACCCTGGTTAGAAAAATGCTTGGCATACACTAGGTGATCAATGAATATGTACTTTAAGAATTGTAAGGATAGGGGTGCCTGGGTGGCTAAGTCGGTTAAGCATCTGCCTTAGGCTCAGGTCATGATCCCAGAGTGCTGGGATCGAGACCCACATTGGGCTCCCTGCTCAGCAGGGAGTCTGCTTCTCCCTCTCCCTCTTCCTGTTGCTCCCTCTGTTTGTGCTCTCTCACTCTCTCTGTCAAATAAATAAATAAAATCTTTAAAAAAAGAAGAGTTGTAAGGATATTGGGATGCCTGACTGGCTTTGTCACTAGAGCATGTGACTCTTGATCTTGGAGTGGGGGTTTGAGTGTCATGTTGGGTGTACATATAACTTAAAAATGAAATCTTTATTTAAAAAAAAAAGAATTATAAGGATATTTAGGATAATCAATATAAGATTTCTGGTTGTCCACAGTGAAAAAGTATATATTCTTTAGAACATACCCATCTGGGATTATCTGAGTTTAGCATTTTATTACCTTTGAACCATTTTAAATGCTATAATTTATAGATAACTAATAGCAATGCAAATAATTCTTGTCCAAAGACATACACATACATTCTGTCTCCTTGGGGAGGGGACTTAAATCCCCCTACCAAGCCACTTTTACATGCATCCATAAATTCATTTCAATATTCCCTTATTCCACATAAATTTGGGCATCTTTAATTTCTGTCTCATTCCCTTGTTTGTAATGAGTTAAATAAATAAAATGGGGAGTTGCTATTCAATGGGTATGAAGTTTCAGTCTTGCAAGTTGAAAAAGTTCTAGAGATCCTCTGTACAACACAGTACTTACAGTTAACACTGGTGTACACTTAAAAATATGTTAAGAGGATAGATCTGATGGTATGTGTTTTTGCCGCAATAAAAAATCTTTAACGCATGTTTATTTTATATCTATAAGGGTCATGATATTGCCTTCAGAAAAAAGTCTTCCTTTAACAGATTAAACAAACAAATTCATTTGCACCTCTCTGCATGTGCTGGCTTTTTGTCTTGTGGTGTGTTCTAGGCATTAGAACCTGGTCCCTGCCCCCTTAGCCAAATAAGATGGTTCATGTAACAGCTTGAGTTCATGTTAAAGGATTTTGCTATTTCTGCTTGAACAACTGGGAACTACTGGAGGGTTGGAAGCTGAAAATGACTCTTGGGTTTTTAGAATTCCCTCTGGCTTCTCTACGGAAAACAGATTGGGGATGGGAAGAGAGAGGGTGAGAAGATGAATTTCCTTGACTGTGTATTTATGTTTCCAAGATAGAAAGTGAGTCCTTGGAAGCAAGAATGTGCATTTCTTATAAGCAGTGCAGACTCGCTTTGTGCACAATAATGACAAATTTCAGAGTAGGTGATAAATACATGTCAAGTGGCAGTATTTACATAAAGGGAAACACACAAATAGCAGAATCTTGCATAAAGTACAATTTTAATTCTGGTTAAAAAAAAAGTTACATATAGGTGACTTTTCTCTCCTTGCATCTACTCACTTACAACTATAGGAAATAGTTTGGAAGACCAGAAGTGACAGGTAAACAAAAATTTGTTCATCTATTTTTTTGTGTAGGGGCTGGGGAAAATCACCAAAGTGCTTTCCTACTGTGTGGAGGTGGATTAGGGATGGGGAGAGAAGTTTAGGAGACAATGGGCACAGTGCTCTTATGCCTGGCTCCTCCCTTTGGGATCCCATATCCAGGACTTTCCCTTATCCTAAGAGACAAAGCAGCTCAAAAAAATTATTTATTTATTTGAGAGAGAGAGAGCATGAGAGGGGAGAGGCCTGAGGGAAAAGCAGACTCCCTGCTGAGCAGGGAGCCCAATGTGGGACTTGATTTGGGGACTCCAGGAGCATGACCTGAGCCAAGGGCAGTTGCTTAACTAACTAAGCCACCCAGGCACCCCAAAACAGCTCAAGTTTTTCTCATCCTTCCTTTTCTAGAGGTTTCCAACCTCATCAGGGAAAAGCCAAATGAAGTCAGCGTCCTGCAGAATATTGGCTCTGGGGGTGATCAATGGTGAACCCTGTTTTTGTGCTGGGGGGACTCGATAAAGGGTTTCCTGGGAGGAATCTGATCACTTGGTGTAGTAGATCCTGGAGGGACCATAGGGGAGGGGGCTGGTGGAAGTCAGCCCCCATGCAGGTGATCCTGAGCAGAGAAGGACCAGAAAAGGAGGAACAGAAATGGAGGGATGTTGGACGGGCATGAATTTCCTGTTTCCAGTCCTATTAACAGGACCCAGCCTTCCTTCCACTTACCAGCTCTGGGGCTCAAGACAGCATGGGCTAGTAACTGCAAGAATCACCTGGGCAGAGGTGGGACCCTTGGAGTGGTTGAGACCACCTATCAGGGGACAGGAAGGCTCTAGACAGAAATGTGAGAAAACATGGAAAGAGAAAAAACCCATCCCAGACTGAAAGAGTGAAAATCAATTCAAATGCAGAAAGAAAAAAAAATCTTGAAGTTATTCAGGCTTGGTAGGAAGACAGTTACAAAGCTGAATGGAAACGTTATTTATCCAAAGGTCTTACAAAAGCTCTAAATGCCATAAGGACTCCCTCTTTGAGTGATCACTACTTTCTTGCCAACAATGTCCCAAGACTGGCCTTGTTATTCCATCTAATTACTGGGGCCACCCATGCCTAAACCTCACCTCAGGACAACACCCAATCCTTGGTTAACACCTTCTGTGAACAAAGAGCCCAAGTCTGAGGAGGGAAGCACATCCTATGAGGTCCCAGACACCCCTGACCAGCATCATTGACTTAGGATATCACCAGACCCTTCTGTAGGCTCCTCCCACTCTGCACTGGGGGCTGATAAAATGTTGGCTTTCTGGGGGCTCTCCATCCACTGACTCTCCAGGAGACACTGACTCCTGGAGAGTCTCAGGTGGGGCGGTGGTCCCGAGGGGGTTGGTGCTGTCCGTGGTGCTGAAACAGGGTCATGCTTTGAGCTCAGGTACCTCCCAGCTCAGCAGCAGGGAGGACCCAAATGCTTATGACTGGATTTGGGGCCAGGAGGGGAAAAGGATGGGGATGGATGGAGCCAGAGAAACAATCAGGAGTGGGAAGTGCTGGCCTCCTCTCTCTTCACCTGCCACCTCTCCTGTTCATTCTCAGGCATTGTTCCTCCTGTGGATGATGACTGCCTGTCCCTTCTATGTGAGCCTTCTTGCTAAGGTCCTCTGCTTACTGGCCTCTTGTACTGCTCTTTTATTTTTTTTAAGATTTTATTTATTTTTTTGACAGACAGAGATCACAAGTAGGCAGAGGCAGGCAGAGAGAAAGCGGGGAAGAAGGCTCCCTTCTGAACAGAAAGCCCGATGCGGGGCTCAATCCCAGGACCCTGGGACCATGACCTGAATGGGAGGCAGAGGCTTTAAACCACTGAGCCGCCCAGGCGCCCCTGTACTCCTCCTTTAAATAGCTTGCTTCATATCACACACACACACACACACACACACACACACACACACTTCTGAAAGTGAGGAGGCTAGTCTTCACATTTGACAAAAGAGAAAATTTAAGGTCAGGGTCAGGAATATTAGACAGTATGCCTGGATCCCGTTCTCCCTTTCTGTTCTCCTGCTCCAGTGCCTCTGGGCAGGAGAAGATATCTCAAGTCTGATGGAGAAGGTATTTCTTGGACATGCATTTCTGGCTGCAATTGATCCCCTTTGCTGGGGGCGCTGGGCCTGCCTGATTGTTAAAAGGGCTCCCTTCCAACCGGGAGAAAAATGTCCCTACCTAGCTGCCTTCTGTCTCTCAGGATTTGGGAAATGATGGGTCTGAGTGTCTTTCCTCTGTTGGATGGGAGGACTGAGATGCTCTCCTTCTGTGTTAGTCCCCTAGCTCTAGGGGCTTAAACCAACTCACTTTCTTCTTACTGCATTCCAGAATTCTCCTTTGTTTCTTGCACCATTTACAGGGTTTCTAGTTGCAAGTAGAGGGAGGAGCAGGGAACAATGTGTTGATGACAACTTGTTTCGATTGAAAGTCTAACCATCAATTTTTTTTTCCTTTAAAAAATTTTTATTTATTTATTTATTTTTTTAAGTTTATTATTTTTTTATTTTTTAAATTTTATTTTATTTTTTCAGTGTTCATTGGGTATGGTACCCAATGCTCCATGCAATACGTGCCCTCCTTAATACCCACCATCAGGCTGATCTAACCCCCCATCCCCTCCCCTCCAAAATCCTCAGTCTGTTTCTCAGAGCCCACAGTCTCTCATGGTCCATCTAACAATCAACTTTTTATGTTTTCAACAGATGGTTGGCTCATGTCACCCAGCCTGACATTATCATAAACGGAAGTCTGACAGCTGTCCCTCTTGGATGCAGGGAAGGGAGAGTTAGGTCCCAAACATTTTTTTTTTTACACTACACCAGAACCTCCCATTTGTTTTTAGGAGTCATTTTATGATCTTATGGCCTTATACTTTATCCCTGTCATGGTTTTGGTGCTACTGGTGCAGGTAGGGCTGTTTTTATTTAAGTTGATTTTTAAATAAAATATTGGGCTTTTGAGGAGGAAGATTATAACTTCCTGCTTGCCTCCACCAACCATCTCAAACCTGACATCTATTTTCAAGTTTATTTTGAAGGATAAGAGGGTGCCAGACAGATGAAGATCTGGTGACGGGTCTTCCTGGAAAAAGGATGTGGATGCACAAAGATGGTGAGGAATTCACAAGCATGGGAGCACTTAGAGAATGGCGTGAGGGAATGATGGGTCGGGATATGGAGATGCAGAAGTAGACTGGGTAAAGTTGAAAACAGCCTGGAATAGAGGTTAGAAAACTATACACTGGGGTTGTCTGCTTTTGCAAATAAAATTTTGTTGGAACACAGCCACATTAGTTCATTTGTGGAATGGCTATGGCTACATTTGCACTACAAACACAGAGTTGAATAGTTACTAGGGTCCTTACAGCTTACAAACCCTAAAATACTTGCTATCTGGCCCTCTAAAAAAAAAAAATTCTGACCCTTGACCTGGAACGTCAAATTAGAAGCTTTAAATTAAGCTTCTAAAGCTTAAATTAAATTAAACTAAGCTTTAAATTAGTCGTTGGGGCTGAGGAGATAGAGAAGTATTTTGACTGTGGTCAGCCCTGAGTTTTAGGAAATTCTCTAAATGTTAATATGTGATTTTGCTTCTAACAAGACTAGTAGGAGGCAGGCGGGATGGAAAGGGAAGATTCAGGAAGGGAGAGGGGTGATGCTGGAGGCCAAGTCAGGAAAGGGACCCATGGGGAGGGTTTTGTTTTTCTGATAAATATTCAATAATATTTATCATTAAATAATACATCTGGATCTACAGTTTATTTTTTCCAGCTTTATTGAGATATAGTTGACACATAACATTATGTGAGTTAAATTATACAATGTAATGGTTTGCTATATGTATATATTACAAAATGATTACAACATGGAAGGGTTTTGAAAGTGAGACTGACACATTGCTGATATGGTGTCCCAGACAGAAAACACTCAGTCTCTAGGTGAAATGTCACCAACACCTTTCTGTTCAAGGGGGAAGGAACTAGTGGGCACCAAACTCTCACAGTGCATCAGAGCTTCTGCTGGGTTTTTTCTATATGCACTTTTATATACTCCTCGTGGCAACACTGTGAGGTGGGACTTCTTACATCCATTTTGCAAAGCAGGAAATCGAGTCATGGAGGGGTAAAATGGTTTGCCTGATGTCATACTGTTGATAAATGAAAGCATGGATTCCACCCCAGGCCTCTCTGCTTGTAAAGCCTTAGTTTCAATATAGCAGGAAACTCACATTCAGGAGTTTGTAAATCCATTGCCTATGGGGTTGTTAACTCTCCAAGAATCAGGCTTTAGTCCCCCTTCCTGGAGGGTATGGATGCTCTCTCCAAGACTGATGGGCCAGATGGTTCCTCATTGGGTCATGATCTCTGAGTATTCTGCATAGGTGTCCTTCTCCATTCTGTGAAAGCTGACAGAGGCATAATGCAGGTCCTGCTCCATTTCTGAGGTGGGGGGCACTCCTGCAGAGCTTGTGGGGTCAGCAGGGAGGTCTGACTTGGACTCCTCCTGGTAATCCTGTTTAGAGAGCAAAGAAGGGGTCAGAGGAAGGTGTGGGGGGGTCTGAGGTCGGGTGAGGAGAAGGCAGAGAGGGTCCATGAAGTGAATTTGATTCTGACTGGACATTGTTTTTTCTTCCAATCTTTTATCGAACATTTCTTTTTTTTAATTCTTTTTTTTTAATTTTCAGCATAACAGTATTCATTGTTTTTGCACCACACCCAGTGCTCCATGCAATCCGTGCCCTCTCTAATACCCACCACCTGGTTCCCCCAACCCCCATCCCCCGCCACTTCAAACCTCTCAGATTGTTTTTCAGAGTCCATAGTCTCTCATGGTTCACCTCCCCTTCCAATTTCCCCCAACTCCCTTCTCCTCTCTAACTCCCCTTGTCCTCCATGCTATTTGTTATTATCGAACATTTCTTATGTGACACATCTAACGCTATTGGTTGTTTTCAAATTTTACTAAACAGTCACTCAGACCTGTGTGGAAAAGACTATTATTTTACAGAAAGAGAAACCAGTTCTCAGAGAGGTTACACATCTGTTGATCATGAACTCAACCCCAGTCTCTCCGGCACAGGATACATGGGAGGGTGTTTACGAAAAGCTCACTTTTCTTCTGGGTGTGTCTTCCTCATTTTCACACTGCTACAACATTCACAACACCTCTGACACCAGATGTGTGGGGTTTTCACCACGCCAAACAATTCTCCAACACCAGCTGGGTGGCCTACAGTTCAACTCAATTCTGATGCTCTCTACCCAGAGATAACACCAAATCCAGAGATTAAAGGCTAAGACTTACAAGGATCCCCCACCCCCACTTCACCTGCTTAGAGGTCCAGGTTGTCCCCTATGTCTGTCACCTGACAGCTCTGACCAACTGGTTATAAATTAGCAATTGTCACGCGCCCCACCTCAGGTTCCATTAATTTTCTGGTGTGGCTCACAGAACTCAGGAAAGCAGTTTACTTACTGTTTACCAGCTTATTATAAAAGAATGTGATAAAAGATACAACACGGATGAACAACTAAGTGAAAAGAAGCCCAAGGTGAGGTGTGGGTAGAGAGTGGAGGCTTCCATACCCTCTCCAAATACATTCCTGTCATCTCCATGTGTTCACCAACTTGGGAGTTCCTTGAACCCCATTTGTATGGAGACTTGGATTTGTATGGATTTGTATGGAGACTTCATCATGTAAACATGTAAACTTCATCATGTAAACACTAATTCCATTTCCAGCCTCTCTCCCCTCTCTGGAGAATGGGGGAGGGGCAGGGATGAAAATTCCAAGCCTCTAACCATGGGGTGGTTTTTCTGGTGACCAGTCCAAACAGGAGCTCACCCAGAGTCACCTTGTTAGTACAAAAGATGCTCCTATCACACAGAAAGTTCCAGGGGATTTTAAAGTATGACCATTTTCAGCTACAGACTAGTTTCTCTCTAGATTCATGGTAATATTTTTCAAGAGTATTTCCACTTCCCATCTTCCCATTTTCTCTTGAACTCAAACCAGTCAAGTAAACTTCCTCTCCCAGGAAACCAAATCTGCCTTTGACAAGATCAGCTGTGACACCATTTGCTAAATTTAAGGTTCATTTCTGAGAACCTATCTTGCTAGACTTACTAGCATTTGAAACAAATAAACATTCTCTTCTCCCTGAAGCTTCATCTCCCTTTGGCTGTCAGGACCCAACCCTACACTCTCCTGGTCATTTCTTTTTTCTCAGTGGTTTTCTTGTCATCTCCACCTTGTATCTCTGTCTCTCCCACTTACTTATACTACTCAGGGTAATCACACTGGAGTCCTCTTTGGGATCTATGAACGTGTATGCACATCCATAACATCTATGACATCTGTAGAGTTATCACTGGCATCTATCACACCCATTAAGTAGAGGCAGTGAACTATCTTTGCTCATATTCCACATACGCTCTCTCACTCCGTTAGCAAATCCTGATTCATCATTGTTACGCAGGACTAAGTCCATCTTACGGACTGAACTGTGTCCATATGTTGAATTTGTAAGTTGAAGCTCTAACACCTCATGTGACTATATTTGGAGATGAGATCTTTAAAGAGGTAATTAAGTTTTAACAAGGACATTAGGGTAGGCCCCAAAATGACTTATGTCCTTATAAGAAGAACAGACAGTGGAGATTTGTGTACACAGAGAAGAGGCCAGGTGAGGATACAGAGAGGAAGCAGACCATCTGCAAGCCAAGGGGAGAGTTTTCAGAAGAAGACACCCTGCAGGTACCTTCATCTCAGACTTCCAGCCTTTGCAACTGTTTCTGAAAATGTTTCTGTAGTTTAATCCATTCCATCTATGGTATCTTGTTATGGGAGCCCTAGCAAACTGACACAGTCTGCTTTCCCTCCACACCCAGCGTGGAGCCCAGCATGGGGCTTGAACTCATGATCCTGAGATCAAGACCCGAGCCAAGATCAAGAGTCTGATGTTTAACTGACTGAGCCACACAGGCGGCCTCTTAGCCAGAGTTTTAAATGAATAAATGTCAGTCAGAGCTCAGAGATGAGCAGCAGGGCTAGGGCAGGATGACACAGACACACGAGAAGGAGCTCACAGCCCAGCAATGATTCTGAGATGCAAAGAGCTCACTCCGCTTGAAGCGAGTGAGCAGGCCAGTGATGAAGGCCAGTGTCGGGGGTTAAAGCACTGATGGTCACTCTGGTGACTCTGGGTTTCCTGCCCCAAATGCCAGACCCTGTTGTTTGGGCACCCGACTTTCAGCAGGGTGGAGGAGCCATGCTTTTCAGACCTGGGCCTGTGGGACGAGGATCTTCACGGAGGAGAGATGGGAGGGCTGTAGCAGGGTAAGTACTAAGAGGGTAGCTCAGCCCGAAGGGAATGGTTGCATTACTCTAATGAGAAGAGCACAGATGTGCTCTGCTGCATTCTTGGTGCAGGGAGAGCAAGGCTGGGGCAGCATAGGGTTGGGTCTCTGGCGGGGTGTCAGGGACACAAGTGCCATCAGGGAGGTGGATAGCCAGCAGGAAAAATATATTTAGGAGTGCATTCACAACGTGTTTCTGAGGCTTTAGCATCTGGGGCCTTGCTGACCTTAGAGGAACTGTCCCTGCCAGAACAAGTCAATCTCTAGAGATGGAGGAGGACTGCCGGCAAGCCTGCCTTTCACGTGCAAACCAATCCATCCAAAGTTGACATTCTGGGCCCCTGTTCCTCAGCCTAATCACCCCTAGGCCAGGCACCAAACAACTATGGACACCCAACACCCCAGAATCTGCTGAAATGATTCAAACTAGCCAATCCTGAATCTGCTTACCCCGTCTCACCATACCTTTCCTGTGGAAACCAAAATAAAGGCCCTCCCCATGACTCCCTTTGCCCCCTCTGCCTCCTGACCCACCCTAGCCCTGCCCCATGTGGTCCTGTGTGGAGGGGTGTGCCTCTCCTCCTGGGAACTGTGAGTAACAGAGTGCCTTTTCAGGGGTAGTCAGCTCCTGATCTGTTGGCCTCAGATGCCTGAAGGATAAAACCTACATTTTCAAACAAGCAGGAAGGTAATGAGCTCATTTCTGGGCATGCTAAATGGAGCATGGCTGTGGGCCACCCCAGGAGATGGGGAAGAGAGTCTGCATGCCAGGATGCCCATGTCACTCACCAGGGGAGCTGGCTCTACAACCGGGGGGCTGCCGTCCATGCCCACTGCTCTCCGGGATGCTGTCTTCCTGCAGCTCTTCACTCTGATGGAGACACCGGGGTCTCTGACATGGGGTCACTCTTCTGAGGCAGGTGGAGGGTGGGGCAAGCCCAGGAGCCTTCATATCAAGGCTTTGTAACAAGGTCCCTGTGTTCCTAGACTGCTGGGACTGAGCTGGGAACACACTCGTACCTGGCACCCTTTGCCTTTGTTCCAGGACCTCACAACCCCTGCAAGTCCCACTTCTCCCCCTTCCCCCATACCCACCCAGCTCACCCAAAGAAGATAAGGCAGAGGCAGAGAACAAGCAGCATGGTGATACCAGCTCCCGAAACGGCACCTAGAATCACTCCTGACCAGATCCCCAGTTTCCCTGTAGGCAGAGACACTTGGGGTGAACTCCAGTCTTAATGAGCATGGGCACTCCAGAGAGAGGGAGATAGACATAAGCACAGAGCTCTGTGGGATGGAGAAAGTCCCTCCTTCCTTCCAGGGAGGGTGTCTCCACTGGCCCTATCACTCAGGGTCAAAGGTGGTCTTCCGTGCTTCCAGAAGCAGGGGGAGGCAGAGGAATTCTCAGACCTTCGGGTCTCCTCGTCCTTCCTGGCTATGCCTCCTGGGACCCCAACACCCAGAGTGAGGGATGTATCTCTGGGCATCACCTATCAGCCATCTGGTGGGCACCGAAAGAGTTCTAATGGGGCTCCCTGTTCGGGGAGGGAGGCAGATGTCATTACCATACCGGTGGGGTAAGGCTGGGCTCAGAGAGCTGAGGAATGACAGTCAGGCAGTAAAACTACTCTGCATGACACTAGATGGATACTATAGTGACTAGATGTCATTAAAAATTATCCAATCCATAGAAAGTACAACAGCAGGAATGAACCCTGATGTCAACTATGGACTGTTAAGTGATAAATGCATGCCCATGTAGGTTTTATTGTAACAAAAGTACCCTCTGGCGGGGGTTGACAGTGAAGACGCTATGCATGTAAAAGCAGGGCTTTAGGGGAAATCTCTCTACCTTCAACTCAATTTTGCCAAGAACCTAAAATTTCCTTTCTAAAAATAAAGTTACTGAAAATGCTTTAGTCCTTCAGAGACCAGAGGAAGATAAAAAGCATATTCAGGGTGGTGGGGAGAAAACTGCAGGTCACCTAGCAAGACTAGAGTAAAAGGGTATGAGAGAGAGGGCTGAGGGGACTTCTCATTTCTAACCACAGCCCCCCATACACTCCCACCTGATGAGTCTCAAGTCCCACTCTGACTTAACCTGACAGAGACCCTGGACACCCAATGCCTCATGGACGGGAGGCTCCTTCCTACCTGGGCTGTGTCCCAGGCAGACACTAGTTGTTGGGTTCTGTGCGGCACCTGGGATGGAAAGAGGGCATTTCCCTCTTCAGTGAGGTGGGGGCATGTGAGATACATGTAGGTATCTTCTCCTCACCCCCAGAAACCACAGAAACACAGGAGGGACAGGGCTTGAGCCCTTCTAGGTCCCACACTCAGACAGAACTTCCAGTAAAACTAGAGGCTCCCCAAACTGACCTTCCTGCCCCTCACCCCTTCAGGCAATTGGGCATCCTTGCCCCACACTCACAGGTGACATTGAGCTGGACTGTCTTTTCCACGATCACACCAGCTGCAGGGAAGTACACTTGACAAGTGAGGTTGGTGCCATGGTCCTGAGGCCGTGGGGTGAGGGTGAGCACTGAGGAGAGGTGAGTCCTGGGACCCAGGGAGGTGAGGGCAGCTGACGTCCAGGAGAAGATGGGCGGTGTGCTCCTCTCACAGGCCCAGGGCACAGAGCAGGTCAGGTTCCTGGGGTGTCCAGACTCCAGGGTCCCCGGGATGAGGATGTCAGGTGTGTGGTTCAGAGCTGTGAGGAGATGGGGAGACACGGGAATCAGGAGGAGGGTCTGAGTGAGACTCTGAGAGAAGCCTCAGGCTTTGGTCCAGCTCCTGCTTCTGAACCTTGACATGTGTTACCTCTAACCCCTCCCAGGAAGGGGGGTCCCATCCCAGCTCTGACCCAGGACCCCCGTCCTTCCTCTGCAGCCTCTCCTGGGGTCTCCTCCTTACCTGTCACTTGCACAGAGAGCTGGTTCTGTGTGTAACTGTAGCTCACAGAAGACCCTCTCTCCACCCTGAAGAAGTATGTCCCCGAGTCCCTTCTCTGTGCACTTCTGATGTCCAGCGAGCAGTTGTAGGCCCGGGGATCCCCGAGGAGGTAGAATCGGCCCTGGGTCTCCTCCTGCACTTTACGACCTGGGTTGTTTGTGGCCACTGGAGCATGTTGGTGTGCACTGGCCCCTTCACGGAACCAGTAGCCATGAACAGGGGAAGACGAGGTCCAGTAGGATGGGGAGTAGGGGTAGGAGAAGCGGCAGGGCACAGAGACGCACAGGCCCTCCTGCACCTTCACCGTCTCCTGCACTTGCAGCCAGAATTCTGAGCCCTGAGTCAGGGACCCTGTGGAGAATTGAGGGTCAGCACCAGCCCTCGCCCACCTCGCCCCCTCCCCTCGGCCCACTCACCTGTCCACAGCAGGGGTAGAAGCAGCAGCAGCGGCAGCAGCATCTGTGAGATGGAGGGTGTGTGGCCTCCGGTGGGTGAAGGAGAAGAGGAAGGCAGTGGGAGGGAGGCTGAGGGGGACCCACGGGAAGCTGGGGAGGAGCACAGGGCCTCGTGGTTCACAGAAGAGGAACTACAGCTCCAGAGCTCACCCGTTCTCTACGCAGAGCCGGCCACACCCTTGGCTGGACACCAAGGAGATCCACTCGGGAAGGAGAGAGCAGGAGCAGACCCATGTCCTGCCTCTCATCTCGGCACTTCCCTCTGGCACCAGAGCCTGGACCAGGACCTCTGAGGACACGTGAGGCCTGGGACACAGTGAGTCTCCTGAGGTCTCTTCCACCCGAGGGGCTTGTCTGAGCAGCACTGTCTACACTGGGGAGCTAGTCAACTCCAGGCTAGACCTGGAGGGTCACAGCCTCATCTAGACCCTCAGGTGTTCTGTCCTGCAAGATGGAGGACTCTGTAGGTCTGTGTGAGCCTCTGGGGCAGAAGAAGAGATGGGATCCTGGGTGAAGAGAAGGCCGCGGCCATTCATATGTTCATTCATTCATTCTCCGTGAGCTTAGTGAACATCTGTGTTGGGGGAACTGGACACGAGACAGCTGGACCCAGCCTGGTCCATCCCGTGACGCGGTCCCCCCCCCCCCCCACCCAGGGAGCCACTTCCTCCGTAGACACACTGGATTTTCTCTTTGTCCCTGTGAGGTTCACAGCTGCAGACACCTGGTCTTTTTAAATGTGTCTGCTTGAACCATGGAACACTACCTCAAAAACTAACGATGTCCTGTATGGTGACTAACATCACATAATATAAACAAACAAACAAACAAACAAATAAATAAATGTGTCTGCAGACCTACTGGATATTTTCTAAATATACAGGGATGGGTCCTTTTTTCTTTCCCTTCTACTATGCTGATTCATGAAGTTTCAATGGCATCTCCAAAATGAGAACTATGTGGGATCTTCATGTAAATGTGAAGGGAGAAAAGTGTTCACGAGTCATGGGAAAAATATTTTCCATGAATGCTGTCTATACAGTGGTGCATGGACTGAAGCAGGTTTTCTAGTTCCTCATCACTTCCTGTGATGTAAAAAATCAGCTTCTCAAGGTGAAATGTGGCTTAAAACACATAAAATATTACTGCAGAAAACATAAGTGGAACAAATATACAGATACAATTAAAATTGCAGGTTCTGCCCACGTGATTTTCCATCTCTGTGGAGTACGCATCTGGCAAATCATTGATGTCTATCTACACAATATAATATGATATATAATTGCATCATACGGTTGTAAAATGTTGCAAACGCAGTGGTATCTAAAGTATGTTCCTTAAACATTACTAACATGGAGCCATTTTGCATCTCATCTGATAAATGAGGAATTGAGTCTCCAACAAGTGAAATCACACTTTATTCTAGGTTATTCAAAATGCACCATTGTGGCACATAACAGAAAACCCAAAATGATGAATTTACAGTTAAGGGAGGTATACAATTTTCATGGACTGGAAAGTTCTGTGAGTTCTCATGATGTTTCTTCAATGAACTTTGTACTTTTTGTAAGATAAAATGTACCTCCTAAAGTGTGCATCTCTAGGACTTATGACAAATGTATACCTCCACAATGGAGACAGAGAACAAAAATACCACTCCACATGGGTTTCTGGAACCTCAGCCCCAGGTAAACACTGATCTAGTCTCTGTCATGGTGAATTAGTTTGACCTATTTGAGAATTTCCTAGAGAAATGTACTCATTTGTATGTTCTGTATTCTCTCACTTAGCATACTGCTTTTGAAATGGACCCAAGTTGTGCTTGGGTTCATAACACATGATTACTAAGTATTATGCCATGATATGAGTGTACTATAACCTCTTATTTATTCACCTATTGACAGACAGTTGAGATTTTCAAGTTTTGACTATATGAAAGTGAAACTTCTTATGGACATATTTTCATTCTCTTGAGTATATACAAGTAGTATAATTGTGAAACTCACGTAAGATCATGTCAACCATACTTAGATTAAAAAACAGACATACGAAATGCTAAAGAAGAAAGAAGACCCTTTCTCAAAAGTGTAATTGTTGGGTCAAAGAGTAACTGCATGTTTCACACTAAGAGAAATTGCTAAACTACTCTCCCAAATGGATTGAACCTTTACCAATCCTTTCCACCGTGTTCCAGAATTCCAGTGGCTCAACACTCTTCTTAACACTTGATGTTGACAGCCTTTTAAATTTTAGCAATTTAAGCAGAAGGTAGTGTTTTCTCAGTGTGCTCTTAAGTTATTAATTTATTCTAATTTAGACATAATGATATTCACTTATCTCCTTCAATTCTGTGAAGTTTGATGGGTGTATGGAATTATGTAACCATAACCATGGTGAAGAGACTGCAGATTGCCATTCTCCAAAATGTTCTTTCCTCTTGTCCTTTGGTGGAAAGATCCTCCCTCCAACCTTAATCTTTGCAGAAATGCCGGTCTCTTCTCCATCCCTGTAGTTCTGTTGTTTACTGAATGTCACAGAAACAGAATCATACCAAAAGTAGCCTTCAAAGTCTGGCTTCATTCACTTGGCATGCTGCATTAGAGGGTTCCGCATGTTGCTGGGTGTGTATGCCCATAATTTGTTCCTGTGCTTGCTGCTGGTATGTCACTGTTTCTGTGTGCCCTCATGTTGCATACGCTACCCTGAGGAGACCATTGGGGTTGTTTCTAGGTTTGGATGACTATGAATAATGGAACTGTCCATGTTCACGTGCAGACTTCTGTGGGAATGTGTTTTTATTTCTCTTGGGCAAATGTCTAGGCATCAAGTTGCTCGGTCCCATAAGACATGTAGGTTGAACTGGGACAAAACCGCCAAACTCTTCTCCACAGTGGCTGTAGCATTTGGTGATCCCACCAGCAGAGTGTGGTGAGTTCTGGTTGCTCCACAGTGTCTTCAGTGTTTGACATTACCAGGATTTTTCTTGTATTTGTGTTTGGACTTTTTTTTTTTTTTCTTAGCCATTCTAGGAGGTGTGCACTGGTATCTCATCCTGGTTTTACTCTGGGATTTCCTAAGGACAAGTGGGAACGGGCACATTTTCATGTGCTCGTTTGCCATCCATTGTCCTTCTTTGGTGAGGTGGCTGGCTGGTTCAATCTTTGGCTGCTCTGTTTTGACTAGAGTAAAACATGCAGAACAAAAGCTTTACTCTCTAACTGTTTTAACTTTCCAGGTCAGTGGTCTTAAGCCCATTCCTATTGTTGTTCCACCATCACCAGTAACCATCTCCACAACTTTTTTCATCATCCCAATCTGACATTTTGTGCCTATTAAATTAATAGCCCTCGATTCCCCCTGTCCCCACCATCCTCTGACCCTGGCAACCATCATTCTCTCTTCCATGTCTATGAATTTGCCTACTCTAGATACGTGATGTTAGCGGAATCCTCCAGGATTTGTCCTTTTGTGACTGGCTTAGTGCACTTAGAACAATGTGCTCAATCCATGCTGAGGAATGTGCCAAACTTTCCTTCTTTCCAAGACTGCATAATATGGCACTGTATAGACATACCAGCCTTTGCCTATCTGTTCCTTTCTTGGTAGACCCTTGGGTTGCTTCCACCATTTAGTGCTTATGAATGATGTTGCCATGAACACAGATGTAGAAATAGCCATTCAGGTGCCTGCCTTGGATCCTTTGGGGATGTACCCAGATGCGAAATTACTGGATCCTATGCTAATCCCATGTTTAATTTTTTGAGGAACTGCTGTACTGATGGCACAGCAAAGGCACCATTTTACAACCTCAAGAGCAAAACCAGGAGTTCCACTTTCTCTGCATCCAGGCCAACACTTGTGATTTCCTGCTTTTTGTTTCTTTTGTTTTCTCATAACAGCCATCAGAATGAGTGTGAAGAGGTTTCTCATTGTGTGCCTGTTGTCTGCATTTTGCTGATACTAGATGTTGAGCATCTTGTCATGTGCTTAGTGGTCTGTTGGATACTTTTGGAGAAATATCTATTCAAATCCTTGCAATTTGTAGTTAGAGTGGTTTGTTTTTTCATTGTTGAGACATACAATTATGTTTTATTTGCTGACTTATTGTTTTGTCTTGAGAATCTTTGAAATATTTAGATACTACTTTCTCATCAAATATGTGTTTGTAGGTACCTTCTCTTTGTCGCTTTTCTTTTAGCTCTGGCAATGGTGGCTTTTACAGAACAGCAGGTCCCTCTTCCCCAAGTCCTCTGTTATGCCTGAGGTGACCCACTAGTGCCTCAGGACATGGAAGAACAGAGTAAAGAAGGTCAGGGGGCTAGATAGGGACATTTAGGGGTGGGAAAATCCTTTGGGCCATGCAGTGGGCTAAATAATGACCCCAAACATACCCAGGTCTTAATTAGATGTGGAAATTAGATGTTACCTCACAGGAAACAAGGTCTTTGCAGATGGGACGAAGTTAGGGATCTGGACTGTGGAGATCATTGTAGATTATCTGGGTTGGGTCCTAAATCTATCAGAGTGTCCTTCTAAAGGGGAAGCATAGGGTGACTTTCTGCACACAGAGCAGCATGAGGGAACATGACCACAGAGACCCAGAGTGGAGCAGTGACTCCCCAGGTTAAGGCATGCTGGCAGCCACCATCACCGCCAAGAAGCAGGAGAAGGATTCTCTCCTTGAGCCTCTGGAAAATGTGGAGCTCAACCACTCTTGATTTCTGTGCAGCAACCCTGATTTGGGATTCTGGGGTTCGGGACATGGCTCCCAAAATGTGTGACCTTGGCTTCCTGACCCTTTCAGGAGGAAGGAATTTGAGAACTGGCAGGTGGAGGAAGGACTTTGTGACTTTTCCCTCCCTCTACCCAGAGGAAAGGAACATCACAAGTCTGATGACAGATGGACAGAGGGATGGATCCGACAAGCAGGTTTCTTCAAGCCACTCAGTTACCACCCACAGCTCAAACCGTTTGTTCTCCCAGGTGTGGCTCCAACTTTCTACTCTTCAGTAAATCTAGCAACAACCCCTCAGGTTTAGCCATTTATTGGGGTCTTCACTTCTTTATGAAGGCTCCTGTGCCACATAAACCTCATATGAAATACATTTGTACACTTTCCTCTGGTTCACCTGTCCTGTGTTACAGAGTCCCAGGGAGATCTCAGCAGAACAGACGGAAACAACATATGTCCTTCATATTACAGCTTTCTGACCTCCCTGTGAGAGCTTACATTTCTTTTGTCTTAAGATCCCAAGAGTGTGGCATTTGATACTGGGGCCCGAGGAAGTTAATACAGGCAGGTAATCAGAGATGCCCCCTCCAGGGGGAAGGCAGAAAAAGCAGAAGCTCTCCTTCTCTGGAGCCTTGCTCTGCTCCTCTTTGCAGCAAAGTCCTCACAGTGTGGTCTGTACCCCTTCTTCCATCTCCCCTCATCTGACTTTCCTGAACTTTCTCCAACCACATCTTCACCCCTTTCCTGCCCCTTCTGTCAAATCTGCCATTATTGGGTCCGCAGTGACAAACTTGTCTCCAAGTGCCTCATTTTCTCTATGTGCAATCAGTCCCTTTCTTCCCTATTGATTATGTCCTTCCAGGAGCTGCGGGATTTGTCATCTCTGCCTGGATGGACCCCTCTGCTGATTCCAGACAGTCATAGCCTGCTCCATCCCCGACATTCTCAGAATGAAAATCTCTAAAAAGTCTTTGACCCCATCCTGCCAGATGCTCAATGAAGACACTGGTCATCATACTTGCTCCTCTCTTTACCCCTACCTCCCCCAAATCATTTAGAAATCCTGGGGGGGTTGTTTTGTTTTGTTGTTGTTTTGTTTTTTAAGATTTTTATTTATTTATTTGACAGAGAGAGATCACAAGCAGGCAGAGAGGCAGAAAGAGAGAGAGGGAGAAGCAGGCTCCCTGCTGAGCAGAGAGCCTGATGTGGGGCTCGATTCCAGGACCCTGAGATCATGACCTGAGTCAAAGGCAGAGGCTTTAACCACTGAGCCAACCAGGTGCCCCCAAAATCCTGTTTGTTCTATCATCATTCTATATCCAAAAATAAAGCCCCCACTCTCCATGGTTGGAGCAGCATCGTGTCCCACCTGGGCACCAGCAGTACCCTCCGAATCCCTGTCTTGCCGTCGTGGACAACTCTGGCTGCTGCTGAGCAGAACAGCTGTGGGGATCCTACTAAAAGGAACGTTCAGTCATATCTCTGCTCTCCTCAAAGGCTTCCAGATTCTTGCATTTTCTTTTTTTTTTTTTTGAGCTTTCTATCTTTTCTTTTATAATTCTTTTCTTTTTTTATAAACATATAATGTATTATTAACCCCAGGGTACAGGGCTGTGAATCGTCATGTTTACACACTTCACAGCACTCACCATAGCACATACCCTCCCCAATGTCCTAACCCCACCACCTTCTCCCTACCCCTCCCCACCACCCCCTCAGTCAGATTCTTGCATTTTCTGCAAGGCTCACATGATTTGCACCAGGAGGATGTCTGCACCTCTGTGGGCTCTACACTCCTACCCCTGGGTCTCCACCCCCATGAGGTTTCCAATTCCTCAAGGTCTCTACACCCTCAGGGTCTGCATCCCATGGGGTCTACACCCCCAGTCCCACAGGGCCTGCACCCCCACTAGATCAGCACCATCATCCCAGCATCCCTACCTTGCACTCCTGTGCTCTCAACCCCATCCTCTTGTTTCCACACCAGCCCTCCTCCTGTCTCAGAGTGACTTCGCTCACCTTTCCCCATTGTCCATTTCTTGGGATAATTTTCTCTCAGGAAAATACAGAACCTGCTCTGTCACCTGACTTCAAGTCTTTGCTCAAATGTCACCTCTTCAGCTCTTGGTTCCAGAACATGGTCCCCAATATGCCATGTGCACTCAGTCTGCATGGCTTTTCTGCAAACACATATTCTACCCAAAGTGCTCTAATATTATTTATTATTTATTTCTTTTGATTTCTTGTCTCCAGAATGACAGTTCTTGATGACAGAGATTTTGTTGTGTTCACTGATGCACCCGAAACCAAAACAAGGTGGCACATAGTAGGTGTTCAGTAGTACTTGCTGAAGGAGTCTATTCTTAACTGAATACGACTTGATTCAAAATCATGTGAGTCACACACACATACGGGGCTAGTTGGCTTTTAAGACTGAGCCTGAAGATGATTAGGACTTGGAGATGCAGGGTTGGGGAGGAAACTGTACTTCAGGAGAAGGAAGGGCACATGCAAAACCTTGGCCCAGCTGGTTGTGGAGATGTTGCAAGAAGCAGGGAGAGGTAGAGATCCCGGTGGAGGGTCTAGTGGGGAGCGGACCATGCCAGGCCTTCAAACCCAGCCTTGGTCTTGGCCCTGGAGAGGACCCATAGCTCCTCATGCTGTGGAGAAAGTGGATAATAATGGTCTCCCAAGACTCAGTGTGCTGAGGAGAGAGAGGGAGGCTGGAGGCAGGTGGGTTAGAAGTCTGGGGAAGAAAGGAGGCCACAGGTACAAGTAAGGTCAGGATGGGGCAGAGACTGGCAGCAGGATGAGCCTAGGAGGAAGGATGGGCAAAACTGAGTGATGTACTGGGTCAGGCAGAAGGGAGGGAGGTCACAGTGGAGAACCACACCCCAGTTCTGGCCTTAGAGAGGAGAGCCCTGTCAACCATGTGAGGGAAACCCCGTAGAGAAGTGGCTTTGGGAGGAATGTGGCAGCTCAATTCTGGCCATGCTGAGTGGAGCAACGCTGGGGCCATCCTGGAGCAGGTGTTGGTGGGATGTTGGGTGGTGAGCTGCCCACGTCACTCACCTGAGGGATTAAGTGGGGGTGGGCTTTGCCTCCTCCAGGTCCCCTGCAGGCCTGGCTGTCTCCTTCCTGAGGAACCTCACTCTGAGGGAAGAGACCAGGGTCTTTCAGTCTAATCATGGGGGTGCAGGGTGAGCTGATTCACCCGTGTTGCCAGTTAAGCGTTTGGAGAGGTGACTGAGGTAAGAGAGGGCATGTCTTGTCCCACAGATTACCTTGAGCTGCGCAGGGACATCCCCTCACGGACACTCAGTGGAATCCTCCTTCCTGCCCCAACCTCAGCCTGTTCAGTTCCTCCTGCACCCTTCTGGGATTCAGCCACATGCCCCCGCCCTCCCTACCTCTCCCCTTCCCCTGGGGCAGTGCTCACATGAGGATGACGAGACAGAGCAGGAGAAACAGGGTCTTGACAGCTGCTTCTGCAATGGCCACCAGAACCAACTCTGCCATGGGCTCTGATTTTACTGTAGGGACATGGGACGAGGACAGATTCATGGGCTTGAACGCGGCCCTGTGTCCTTCACCCCAGCACGACTCTGGCCATTGGTTCTACAGGCCTTCCTGCATCACTGGATGCGGGACCACCTGTTTCTGGGGCTCACCCCACCACATACACTGCCCTTCCAGCAGGAATACTGGACAAATACGCAAAAGCTGGACTTCACCAAAGTGAATCGTCTTGTTTACTTGATTCTATTGAGAATGTAAGAAGGCAACCTACGTATTGGGAAGAAATACTTGCCAATCACAGATCTGATAAAGGTGTAGTGTCCAGCACATGTAAAGAACACTTAACTACAAAAAGGCAATCAACACACTTTAAAAATGGACAAAGGACTTCGAAAGTTTCTCCAGAAAAGATATGCCAATGATAAAAATATCCATGTAAAAATGAATGATATTAGTCATTACAAAATGCAAATCAGACCACACTGGACAGTCCCTCACACCCACAAATAGGCTATAATTATTTTGAAAAGGAAAACAATAATGCTGGGAAGAGTGTGTAGAAAAGGGAACCCTCACACACTTGTGGTGGGGGTGAAAAACAGTGCTGCCACTGTGGGAAAGAGTCTGGCATTATCCTCAAAAAATTAAAACACAGAAACTACCCTTGGACCCTGCATTTCTGCTCCTGGACATATGCTCGAGAAAGCTTAAAAGAATGTTCAAACAAAAACGTTTCCTCCAGGGATGCCTGGGTGGCTCCGTGGGTTAAGCCACTGCCTTCGGCTCAGGTCATGATCTCAGGGTCCTGGGATCGAGTCCCACATCGTGCTCTCTGCTCGGCAGGGAGCCTGCTTCCCTCTCTCTCTGCTTGCCTCTCTGCCTACTTGTGATCTCTCTCTGTGAAATAAACAAATAAAATCTTAAAAACAACAACAAAAAAAACGTGTCCTCCAGTGTTCTTAGCATTATCATAGCCCCAAACAGAAACCACCCACATGTCCATCGCCTGATCAGTGGTTGGATAGAACATGGGACATCCATGCAATAGAATAGTATCCAGACAAAAAAGAATTAGTACTCATACAAGCTCTATGGATGATCCTTGAAAATGTTTTGGTAAAATGAAAGCCAGACACAAGAGTCCATAGTTTGTGGGATTTCGTTTAGTTGACACGTTCCCAGTGGGCAAATCTGCAGACACACAAGGCAGGTTCCTGGTTGCAGGGGGTCAGGAGGAGGAGGAGTAGGGAATGACTGTCTAAGAGGCAGGGGGTTTCCCATTAGGGATGATGACAATGCAGGGGGGATGGAGTCAGGTAGTAGTGATGGTCCTACAACACTGTGAATGTCCCCAGAACCACCTATTATACACTTTGAAATGGCCAAAATAGCAAGTTTTCTTATAGGTGAATTTTTCCTCATGGACACAATACTGCATATATATAAAAAATACTGTATAACAGTTTCCACCTGGTACTGGCAAAGATCAGAACTTTCACCCCATGGAGGGTTGGTGAAAACCTGATTGTTGGGAAAATAAACTTGTCCACCCTCTGTGGAGAAAACTTTGCCCTGTCTCTCAAGAGACAAAGACAAAGAACCTATGATTGAGCTATTTTGGTTTTAAGAATGTACCCCATAGGGGCACCTGGGTGGCTCAGTGGGTTAAGGCCTCTGCCTTCGGCTCTGGTCATGATCCCAGGGTCCTGGGATCGAGCACCGCATTGGGCTCTCTGCTCAGCAGGGAGCCTGCTTCCTCCTCTCTCTCTGCCTACCTCTGCCTACTTGTGATCTCTGTCTGTCAAATAAATAAATAAAATCTTAAAAAAAAAAGAATGTACCCCATAGATACACACACACACACACACACACACACACACACGGGCACGCGTACAAGAAATGAGATGCAAGAGTATGGATTACAGTGTTGCAGTGTTTCTGTTGGTAGAAGAAAATGAATGCCATGATTTTCCATTAAGAGAAGACACACTGGGACGCCTGGGTGCTTAGTGGGTTAAAGTCTCTGCCCTCAGCTCAGGTAATGATCTCAGGGTCCTGGGATTAAGCCCCGCATCGCAAACACACTAAGGCTCAGAGCTGCCCATGGACACTGGCTACTTCCCAGGAGGAAATTGTACGTCTAAGGACAGAATCTCCTGTACATTTTGGATGTTTGTCCGTGTGAATATATTACGTGTTCAGAAGTACTTAAAAAAGCAGCTGTTCGGGAGAATAAAAGATGGGACAGGAGGAGTCATCAGGAGTTGCATGATAAGGGGCCGATCTGCTGGGTTCACGTTGCCCTGTTCTCCCTTCTACTGATGATGGGGTGGGGAGGGAGGTGTGCAGAAGAGCTGAGGGGAGCCGATGGGGACAGCAGCTCACAGGGCCATGGGGCCTGGGGAGGGAGAGGAAACACTGGCTTCACCCACAGGGGGTCTAGGCCATCTCCATGAGTGCAGAAAGTGGCAGGGACATGACTCTGTGCTGAGGTTTGAAAAACACCACTCACTATAACCAGGGAGGAGGCTCCTTCCTACCTGGGCTGTGTCCCAGGCAGACACTAGTTGTTGGGTTCTGTGTGGCACCTGGGATGGGAAGAGGGGATTTCCCCCTTCAGTGAGCAGGGGCATGTGAGATACATGTAGGTATCTTCTCACCCCCAGAAACCACAGAAACACAGGAGGGACAGGGCTTGAGTCCTTCTAGGTCCCACACTTAGACAGACCTCCCAGTAAAACTCCGAGGCTCCCCAAACTGACCTTCCTGCCCCTCACCTCTTCAGGGAATCGGGCAACCTTGCCCCACACTCACAGGTGACATTGAGCTGGATGGTCCTTTCCACCATCACACCAGCTGCAGGGAGGTACACTTGACAAGTGAGGTTGGTGCCATGGTCCTGAGGCCGTGGGGTGAGGGTGAGCTCCGAGGAGAGGTGAGTTCTGGGGCCCAGGGAGGTGAGGGCAGCTGACGTCCAGGAAAAGATGGGCGGTGTGCTCCTCTCACAGGCCCACAGCACAGAGCAGGTTAGGTTCCTGGGGTGTCCAGGCTCCAGGGTCCCCAGGATTAGGATGTCAGGTGTGTGGTTCAGAGCTGTGAGGAGATGGGGAGACATGGGAATCAGGAGGAGGGTCCGAGTGAGACCCTGAGAGAAGCCTCAGGCTTTGGTCCAGCTCCTGCTTCTGAACCTTGACATGTGTTACCTCTAACCCCTCCCAGGAAGGGGGGTCCCATCCCAGCTCTGACCCAGGACCCCCATCCTTCCTCTGCAGCCTCTCCTGGGGTCTCCTCCTTACCTGTCACTTGCACAGAGAGCTGGTTCTGTGTGTAACTGTAGCTCACAGAAGACCCTCTCTCCACCCTGAAGAAGTATGTCCCCGAGTCCCTTCTCTGTGCACTTCTGATGTCCAGCGAGCAGTTGTAGGCCCGGGGATCCCCGAGGAGGTAGAATCGGCCCTGGGTCTCCTCCTGCACTTTACGACCTGGGTTGTTTGTGGCCACTGGAGCATGTTGGTGTGCACTGGCCCCTTCACGGAACCAGTAGCCATGAACAGGGGAAGACGAGGTCCAGTAGGATGGGGAGTAGGGGTAGGAGAAGCGGCAGGGCACAGAGACGCACAGGCCCTCCTGCACCTTCACCGTCTCCTGCACTTGCAGCCAGAATTCTGAGCCCTGAGTCAGGGACCCTGTGGAGAATTGAGGGTCAGCACCAGCCCTCGCCCACCTCGCCCCCTCCCCTCGGCCCACTCACCTGTCCACAGCAGGGGTAGAAGCAGCAGCAGCATCTGTGAGATGGAGGGTGTGTGGCCTCCGGTGGGTGAAGGAGAGGAAGGCAGTGGGAGGGAGGCTGAGGGGGACCCACGGGAAGCTGGGGAGGAGCACAGGGCCTCGTGGTTCACAGAAGAGGAACTACAGCTCCAGAGCTCTCCCCGCTCTCTACGCAGAGCCGGCCTCACCCTTGGCTGGACACCAAGGAGATCCACTCGGGAAGGAGAGAGCAGGAGCAGACCCATGTCCTGCCTCTCATCTCGGCACTTCCCTCTGGCACCAGAGCCTGGACCAGGACCTCTGAGGACACGTGAGGCCTGGGACACAGTGAGTCTCCTGAGGTCTCCTCCACCCGAGGGGCTTGTCTGAGCAGCACCGTCTACACTGGGGAGCTAGTCAATTCCTGGCTAGACCTGGATGAGGGTCACAGCCTTATCTCGACCCTCGGGTGTTCTGTCCTGCAAGGTGGAGGACTCTGTAGGTCTGTGTGAGCCTCTGGGGCAGAAGAGAAGGGATCCTGGGTGAAGAGAAGGCCACGGCCATTCATACGTTCATTCATTCATTCTCCATGAGCTTAGTGAACATCTGTGTTGGGGAACTGGACACGAGACAGCTGGACCTGGCCTGGTCCATCCCATGATGCAGTCCCCACCCAGGGAGCCATTTCCTCCATAGACACACTGGACTTTCTCTTTGTCCCTGTGAGGTTCACAGCTGCAGACACCTGGTCTTTTTAAATGTGTCTGCTTGAACCATGGAACACTACCTCAAAAACTAATGATGTCCTGTATGGTGACTAACATCACATAATATAAACAAACAAACAAACAAATAAATAAATGTGTCTGCTGACCTACTGGATATTTTCTAAATATACAGGGATGGGTCCTTTTTTCTTTCCCTTCTACTATGCTGATTCATGACGTTTCAAGGGCATCTCCAAAATGAGAACTATGTGGGATCTTCATGTAAATGAGTCATGGGAAAAATCTTTTCCATGAATGCTGTCTATACAGTGGTGGGTGGACTGAAGCAGGTTTTCTAGTTCCTTATCATACAGACTAGCATTTCCTGTGATGTAAAAAATTAGCTTCTCAAGGTGAAATGTGGCTCAAAACACATATTACTCAGAAAACATAAGTGGAACAAATATACAGCTGCAATTAAAATCACAGGTTCTACCAACATGATTTTCCATCTCTGTGGAGTACGCATCTGGCAAATCATTGATGTCTATCTACACAATATAATATGATATATAATTGCATCATACAGCTGTAAAATATTGCAAACGCAGTGGTATCTAAAGTATGTTCCTTAAACATTACTAACATAGAGCTATTTTGCATCTCATCTGATAAATGAGGAATTGAGTCTCCAATAAGTGAAATCACACCTTATTCTAGGTTATCAAAATGTACAGTTGTGGCACATAACAGAAAAACAAAGTGATGAATTTACAGTAAAGGGAGGTATACCATTTTCATGGACTGGAAAGTTCTGTGAGTTCTCATGATGTTTCTTCAATGAACTTTGTACTTCTTATAAGATAAAATGTACCCCCCTAAAGTGTGCATCTCTAGGACTTATGAAAAATGTATACCTCCACAATGGAGACAGAGAACAAAAATACCACCCCACATGGGTTTCTGGAACCTCAGCCCCAGGTAAACACTGATCTAGTCTGTGTCACGGTGAATTAATTTGACCTATTTGAGAATTTCCTAGAAATGTACTCATTTGCATGTTCTGTATTCTCTCACTTAGCATATTGCTTTTGAAATGGACCCAAGTTGTACTTGTAGTTCATAACACATGATTACTAAGTATTATGCCATGATATGAGTGTACTATAACCTCTTATTTATTCACCTATTGACAGACAGTTGAGATTTTCAAGTTTTGACTATATGAAAATGAAACTTCTTATGGACATATTTTCATTCTCTTGAGTATATACAAGTAGTATAATTGTGAAACTCACGTAAGATCATGTCAACCATACTTAGATTAAAAAACAGACATACGAAATGCTAAAGAAGAAAGAAGACCCCTTCCCAAAAGTGTAATTGTTGGGTCAAAGAGTAACTGCATGTTTCACACTAAGAGAAATTGCTAAACTACTCTCCCAAATGGATTGAACCTTTACCAATCCTTTCCACGATGTTCCAGAATTCCAGTGGCTCAATACTCTTCTTAACACTTGATGTTGACAGCCTTTTAAATTTTAGCAATTTTAGCAGAAGGTAGTGTTTTCTCAATGTGCTCTTAAGTTATTAATTTATTCTAATTTAGACATAGTGATATTCACTTGTTATCTCCTTCAATTCTGTGAAGTTTGATGGGTGTATGGAATTATGTAACCATAACCACGGTGAAGAGACTGCAGATTGCCATTCTCCAAAATGTTCTTTCCTCTTGTCCTTTGGTGGAAAGATCCTCCCTCCAACCTTAATCTTTGCAGAAATGCCGGTCTCTTCTCCATCCCTGTAGTTCTGTTGTTTACTGAATGTCACAGAAACAGAATCATACCAAAAGTAGCCTTCAAAGTCTGGCTTCATTCACTTGGCATGCTGCATTAGAGGGTTCCGCATGTTGCTGGGTGTGTATGCCCATAATTTGTTCCTGTGCTTGCTGCTGGTATGTCACTGTTTCTGTGTGCCCTCATGTTGCATACGCTACCCTGAGGAGACCATTGGGGTTGTTTCTAGGTTTGGATGACTATGAATAATGGAACTGTCCATGTTCACGTGCAGACTTCTGTGGGAATGTGTTTTTATTTCTCTTGGGCAAATGTCTAGGCATCAAGTTGCTCGGTCCCATAAGACATGTAGGTTGAACTGGGACAAAACCGCCAAACTCTTCTCCACAGTGGCTGTAGCATTTGGTGATCCCACCAGCAGAGTGTGGTGAGTTCTGGTTGCTCCACAGTGTCTTCAGTGTTTGACATTACCAGGATTTTTCTTGTATTTGTGTTTGGACTTTTTTTTTTTTCTTAGCCATTCTAGGAGGTGTGCACTGGTATCTCATCCTGGTTTTACTCTGGGATTTCCTAAGGACAAGTGGGGATGGGCACGTTTTCATGTGCTCGTTTGCCATCCATTGTCCTTCTTTGGTGAGGTGGCTGGCTGGTTCAATCTTTGGCTGCTCTGTTTTGACTAGAGTAAAACATGCAGAACAAAAGCTTTACTCTCTAACCGTTTTAACTGTCCAGGTCAGTGGTCTTAAGCCCATTCCTATTGTTGTTCCACCATCACCAGTAACCATCTCCACAACTTTTTTCATCATCCCAATCTGACATTTTGTGCCTATTAAGTTAATAACCCTCGAATCCCCCTGTCCCCCACCATCCTCTGACCCTGGCAACCATCATTCTCTCTTCCATGTCTATGAATTTGCCTACTCTAGATACGTGATGTAAGTGGAATCCTCCAGGATTTGTCCTTTTGTGACTGGCTTAGTGCACTTAGAACAATGTGCTCAATCCATGCTGAGGAATGTGCCAAACTTTCCTTCTTTCCAAGACTGCATAATATGGCACTGTATGGACATACCAGCCTTTGCCTATCTGTTCCTTTCTTGGTAGACCCTTGGGTTGCTTCCACCATTTAGTGCTTATGAATGATGTTGCCATGAACACAGATGTAGAAATAGCCATTCAGGTGCCTGCCTTGGATCCTTTGGGGATGTACCCAGATGCGAAATTACTGGATCCTATGCTAATCCCATGTTTAATTTTTTGAGGAACTGCTGTACTGATGGCACAGCAAAGGCACCATTTTACAACCTCAAGAGCAAAACCAGGAGTTCCACTTTCTCTGCATCCAGGCCAACACTTGTGATTTCCTGCTTTTTGTTTCTTTTGTTTTCTCATAACAGCCATCAGAATGAGTGTGAAGAGGTTTCTCATTGTGTGCCTGTTGTCTGCATTTTGCTGATACTAGATGTTGAGCATCTTGTCATGTGCTTAGTGGTCTGTTGGATACTTTTGGAGAAATATCTATTCAAATCCTTGCAATTTGTAGTTACAGTGGTTTGTTTTTTCGTTGTTGAGACATACAATTATGTTTTATTTGCTGACTTATTGTTTTGTCTTGAGAATCTTTGAAATATTTAGATACTACTTTCTCATCAAATATGTGTTTGTAGGTACCTTCTCTTTGTCGCTTTTCTTTTAGCTCTGGCAATGGTGGCTTTTACAGAACAGCAGGTCCCTCTTCCCCAAGTCCTCTGTTATGCCTGAGGTGACCCACTAGTGCCTCAGGACATGGAAGAACAGAGTAAAGAAGGTCAGGGGGCTAGATAGGGACATTTAGGGGTGGGAAAATCCTTTGGGCCATGCAGTGGGCTAAATAATGACCCCAAACATACCCAGGTCTTAATTAGATGTGGAAATTAGATGTTACCTCACAGGAAACAAGGTCTTTGCAGATGGGACGAAGTTAGGGATCTGGACTGTGGAGATCATTGTAGATTATCTGGGTTGGGTCCTAAATCTATCAGAGTGTCCTTCTAAAGGGGAAGCATAGGGTGACTTTCTGCACACAGAGCAGCATGAGGGAACATGACCACAGAGACCCAGAGTGGAGCAGTGACTCCCCAGGTTAAGGCATGCTGGCAGCCACCATCACCGCCAAGAAGCAGGAGAAGGATTCTCTCCTTGAGCCTCTGGAAAACATGGAGCTCAACCACTCTTGATTTCTGTGCAGCAACCCTGATTTGGGATTCTGGGGTTCGGGACATGGCTCCCAAAATGTGTGACCTTGGCATCCTGACCCTTTCAGGAGGAAGGAATTTGAGAACTGGCAGGTGGAGGAAGGACTTTGTGACTTTTCCCTCCCTCTACCCAGAGGAAAGGAACATCACAAGTCTGATGACAGATGGACAGAGGGATGGATCCGACAAGCAGGTTTCTTCAAGCCACTCAGTTACCACCCACAGCTCAAACCGTTTGTTCTCCCAGGTGTGGCTCCAACTTTCTACTCTTCAGTAAATCTAGCAACAACCCCTCAGGTTTAGC